GGCCTGAGCTGCCCCACCTGATGCTGGATGATGGCCCGGGCTGGGTTAGGGGTTGCAGTGACCCAGTGGGCACGCCCACACAGTCCCAACAGGTGTGTGGGCATCTGTCAGCAAGCAGTCCTCTTTAGAGTCACAGCTGGTCCTTGGAGACCCCAGGTCTGCTCACCACAGACAGGGGATGAGGGGGATTGGACCCCCCCCCACGCCCACCGCACCCTCAGTGGCTCAGGGATGTGGCCTTGGACAGAGCCCTCAGTCCTCACCCGCTCCTCAGGAGGGTTTTCGAGGCAGTCAAGGAGCAGAGGGTCAGGGGCTCCCGGAAGCTTCTGTGAAGCAGCTCAGCCCTGCTCAGGGAATTGTCCGCTGTGCTGTGACCACATCTTCTGTGCGTCCTTGCACCCCCCCCCCCGGACCATGGCAATTCACAGGGCCCCAGTGGCCCTGGTGGAAAGTCTTCACTGCACTTTTGAGGGAAACGGGGAGCGGCAGGGAGGGTGGCTGTGGCCCATGTCACCCAGAGATGGTCCATAGGCTGATGCACAGGTCTGCTCACCACCCAAGTTGCTCGCTCAGCTGTCACCGGGACAGGAGTGACGTGGTTTGCAATGCTTGTTCTCACATTCACAGCCACTTTGACCCACTCTGAGCATAAGAGCCAGCCATCGTCTGTCCCATAGGCCTGGCGGAAGGCACATTCTCCATCTGTTCCTGCAGGGGTGGTTCGTCTGGAGCAGGCGGGCTGGTCCAGGTGCCATAGCCCAGCCATTCAGCATCTCCAGCTGCCTTAACTCTCCTGGACCACCGGACCCAGATCTGATTCCTCACTGCAGGGTCAGAGGCTGAGACACCCACTTGACACTGTAGACTAATTAAACTGTGTGACCGACCTTCCCTGGGCCAGCTGTGCCACGGGCAGCAGGCACTGCCTGTTGTCAACCTGCACAGGCTGAGCAGTGTCCGAGGTTCCACCGAGACATCCAGCCAGAGAGACTGTGTTTGGTCTGTGACACAGCATTATAAGCTGCAGTACTGTGTACACATTTCATAAATTAGAATCTGAGCTGTTCTTGTCATTGTAAAACAGAATGTAAACAAAGTCTTATGAATGTATTTCCTTAAGAAAACATAAAATTTTTTATTAGGAAGATTCTTATTTATTTAATACTGAACTTTGGCCGACTTTGTGATATAGACTATCAAGTACATAAATTTAGGAGTCATTCTCTCACTTCTACATTTTCTTGAAAATAATTTTAGTGCAGTGCTCAATGAACTATTGATTTCTATTGTTAAAGAGATTTAATGGAGGAATTTCATGGAAACTGGAATGGGAATGTATTTTACATTATAAGTGGTTAAACTTGTGAATGCTGGTTCTGTGAATGTAACCCTGTCAAGCTGTGTGACTCTCATCACGATCACGTGCCTTAAAGCACTGCCAGTGTGCTGTCAGCAGTGTCTGGGAGGAGCCCACCACAGACCCTGCAGCAGCCTGATCAAGTCTATTAAAAATATTACAAGACACTTTGGGTGAAAATTTTGTTTACAAGTGAGATCATACCAAGGAGGTTTTAAGGGGCCGCCTCTCCTGCAGGCACAGTATTCTGGCACTAAAATTAACATGGATGCGCCTCTGTTGTGTGTGTGTGTGTGTGTGTATGAGTGAGGGTCACGTGGATGCATCTGTGTTTGTGTGTGTGTGTGTGCATGTGTGCGAGGCTCAGGGTTAGTGCAGAGGCTTGAGGGCACAGGCTGAGCACCGTGTGTGTGTGTGTGTGTGTGTGTGAAGCTCGGGTTTGGTGGATGCGTGCCTGTGTGCATGTGAGCATGTGTGTGTGTGTGTGTGTGTGTGTGTGTGTGCATGAGGCTCAGAGTTAGTGCAGAGTCTTCGGGCAGAGCCTGAGCCCTGGGAACCTGCCCCCCTCCCTGCCCCCACCACAAGCAGAGATGGTGGCCACCAGCACTTTGCCTGCCGGAGTGGGAGGACCAAGCACTTGCCACACCAAAGAGGTCCACAGGGGGCAGGCCTGGGGCTGGAGAGATAGGTGGGGACAGTTGGGTCCAGAGCTTGGGAGACAAGGCTGCACACAAAGACCCTAGTGTGTGCAGTTCAGTTCAATCGCTCAGTCGTGTTGGACTCTTTGCAACTCAGTGGACTGCAGCATGCCAGGCCTCCCTGTCCATCACCAACTCCTGGAGTCTGCTCAAACTCATGTCCATTCAGTCGGTGATGCCATCCAACCATCTCATCCTGTCATTCCCTTGTCCTCCCGCCTTCAGTCTTTCCCAGCATCAGGGTATTTTCCAGTAAGTCAGCCCTTCCCATCAGGTGGCCAAAGTATTGGAGAATTATTGGAGTTTCAGCTTCAGCATCAGTCCTTTCAATGAAAATTCAGGACTGATTTCCTTTAGGATGGACTGGTTGGATCTCCTTGCAATCTCAAGTCTTCTCCACCACCACCCAGTTTAAAAGCATCAATTCTTCAGCGCTCAGCTTTCTTTACAGTCCAACTCTCACATTCATACATGACTACTGGAAAAACCATAGCTCTGACTAGATGGACCTTTGTTGGCAATGTTTTTTAATACGCTGTCTACGTTGGTCATAGCTTTTCTTCCAAGGAGCAAGCATCTTTCATGACTGCAGTCACCATCTGAAGTGATTTTGGAGCCCAAGAAAATAAAGTCTGTCACTGTTTCCATTGTTTCCCCACCTATTTGCCATGAAGTGATGGGACTGGATGCCATGATCTTAGTTTTGTCAATGTTGAGTTTTAAGCCAGCTTTTTCCCCTCTCCTCTTTCATCAAGAGGCTCTTTAGATCTTCTTCACTTTCTGCCATAAGTGTGGTGTCATGTGCATATCTGAGGTTATTGATATTTTTCCTGGCAATCTTGATTCCAGCTTGTTTCTCATCCAGCCCAGCATTTCACATGATGTACTCTGCATGTAAGTTAAATAAGCAGGGTGACAATATACAGCCTTGATGTACTCCTTTCCCGATTTGGAACCAGTCCATTGTTCCTTGTCCGGTTCTAACTGTTGCTTCTTGACCTGCATACAGATTTCTCAGGAGACAAGGTAGTCTGGTATTCCCATCTCTTGAAGAATTTTCCACAGTTTGCTGTGATCCACACAGTCAAAGGCTTTGGCATAGTCAATAAAGCAGATGTTTTTCTGGAACTCTCTTGGTTTTTTGATGATTCAGCAGATATTGCAAATTTGATCTCTGGTTCCTCTGACTTTTCTAAATCCAGCTTGAACATCTGGAAGTTCACGGTTCACGTACTGTTGAAGCCTGGCTTGGAGAATTTTAAGCATTACTTTACTAGCATGTGAGATGAGTGCAAGTATATGGTAGTTTGAGCATTCTTTGGCATTGCCTCTCTTTAGGATTGGAATGAAAACTGACCTTTTCCAGTCCTGTGGCCAGTGTGGGGAAACCAAGCCCTACACGTCCCAGTGGATCCCAGCCCCCAGGTGGAGCCGCCTGGGGCTGGCAGTCTTCTCCAGTGGGTCATCCTCCAGGGCTCCCTGTCAGAGACACACCTTTTAATAGTTGAATTTTCTAACTTTATTGTAATTGTGTATTTTCACCTGCATTGAGTCCCAGTTGTGGCACACAGGATCTTTTGCTGCTGTGAGGGCTTAGCTGCTCCATCGCTTGTGGGATCTTACGTCCCTGACCAGGGACTGAAGCCACATCCCCTGCATTGGAAGGCGGATTCCTAACCACTGGACCACCAGGGAGGTCCCCTGAAATTTTATTGTATAAAGAAACTAGCAATTTGCCGTCTGGCTCAGGAAACTCAAACAGGGGCTATCAACCTAGAGGGGTGGTTGGGGAGGAAGATGAGAGGGAGTTTCAAAAGGGAGGGGTTATATGTGTACCTAAGGCTGATTCAAGTTGAGGTTTGACAGAAAATGGCAAAATTGTGTAAAGCAATTATCCTTCAATAAAAAATTAAGAAAAAAGGAAACTAGCAAGTCAAAATGTAGGCCATAGACATTCTAAGAGGACTCAGTAAATACAGCCCTTTCCACGTTGGTGGAAAGCAGTCTCCAGCAAGTAAGGGGCTTTTTCCTGAAGCTGCCCCCCACCGCCTGAAACACAACATTGATTGCTGGAGTTGGCAATCAGGACGAGGCGGGACAGGGCTGCGCCCCCTGAGCCCCATAGGCGAGTCCTCCAGCCTCTGCAGCCTCTGGTGGCAGAAGCCTCACCACGACCCTGTCTTCACCAGGCGTCACCTTGTCAGGACAGTCACGTCTGCTTAGGGACCCACGTCCTCCTCCCGCACAGGAGGGCCCCAGGGCAGCTGGATACCTGTGCTGCCCACCAGCCCTGACTGATGTCCTCAGTGTGGGAAGAAACCCACCCCCGCTTCCAGGCTCTGCCTGTGTCACTAGGGGAGCGCGGATCTCATGACGCAGGTGCAGTGGGACAGCATGCCAGGCAGTGCAATGAGCACACGGGGTCAGGAGTCCCTTCTCCCTGGCATTTTGGAAACCCACTGAATAAACCCGAGTCAGACATTTCCTGACTTGAAAGATGTGCTTCCACCGAACAGCAGTGTTTCTACAAAAAATGCCACGACTCAATGAGTCTGTGAAGCCAGCTCCCAGCGTGGGCCCCAGGCTGCCCACCGTTGAACCCACTTTCTCCAACGGGCACATGGTGCCTGAGCAAGGGGCAGACGCTGGCCTTCAGCACAGGTGCCTGCGGGCCTTGCACTGAGTGACCTGGAGATGCCCCTTCCCTGGGCATCAGTGTGGACACCATACCCACCCACCGGAAGCGGCCCTCCGCCACGGCCCCCACCACGCCATCCAGCACATCCTGGCCCTCAGAACGTGGTGTGTCCAGCATTCAGCTCAGGGCCCACCATGGTGCAGGTGTGTGGTGGCCACCAGAGGGCAGGTCACTTGGGTCAGCTGCCACCACCTGCAGTCACCATGGGTATTTACACAAGAAGTAACTCAAAGTAGAAATTCTCTCATTAAGTGGAAAAACAAATTATTTTCATTATCTTGAGGGGCAATAACTAATGACTGCTAACACTCAACTTTATTAATTCAGAGACCATACAGGACTAAATCCTATACACTTAAGTCTTGTCAAGCAGGAACTGGACTGGACTGACGCGTGTGCTAGCAGACAGCAGTTGACAGGAAGTCTGGGAGAGTCTCTTCTGTGCCAGGATCGGCCATGAGAACCATCTCTGACGTCTCCATCTAGGCTGTGAATCCTCCAAGAAGAGAGCCCTCCCACCAGGATCGGATGTGAGAACCGTCTCTCACGTCTCCAAGATTGTATGTAACTCCTCCAAGACGAGAGCCCTCCATGCGAATTTTCTGCCTCTCGTGAGGAGGAAACAGCATGGCATCCACTCTGGTTCCAGATGCGTAAGGAAGGACGAGACCCTCAGAGCAGCCCAGCACCCACACACTGCAAGGAGAAGGGGCGAACGCCGGAGCCATCCCGCAGCCACCGTGGAGTGCGGCCGCCAAGAGCGTGCCCAGCAGGGCAGTGCTGGAGTCGAGACCTCCCCCGAGGCTCCCTGTTAACCTCAGGTGCAGGTCTGTAATTTGCTTGGTGTAAGAGTCACTCGCGGGCGCTCCTGGCATCGTCCACCTGCCTGCGGGCTCACCAGCCACACCCACCGCATTGCCTGCTGGCAGGTCTACTCCCGGGGAGGCCTGACCTTGAGCTCAAGCATCTGAAACCTGAAAGTGGCTTCTGCGCGGGCCTGCAACGTCATCACCAGTGAGGTGGGGGCAGGAAGCTGTCCGTCTCTGACAGCAGTTTGGGAAGTGTGCACATAGGGCAGCGTCGGGGGGTGGAAGGGCAGTGCTTTCTGACCCCGCGGCCGCCTAAGGCCGGGGTCACACGGGCTACTTGAGGAGTTTGGCCACGTTGAGGCTGGGAACCATGATATCCTTGAAGATGGGCACGTAGTCGGGACTGGCCTGGGCCGGGCCCTGCTCCAGTGTCTCGATGATGGTCTGCTTCATGTCCCGGCTAGCGTCCCCCCGCATGGCCAACAGTGCCCCGATGTGGTCATCCCTGGGGGCGAGGGGTGTCAGGATGCAGCCGCAGGGGAGCCCCTCCCTCCCTCCCCCACTAACACGCAGGAGGGCCCGGAGATAGCACAGGACGAGCATCCAGAAACCAGTCTGCTTGGCTACCTTCCCCTGGAACACCACACATGGGGATGCCTGGACCATGACTCCAGCGCGTCACGGTCGTCTCTGAAGCATGCTCTGCCCACGTCGCCATCTGCAGGCCTCAGGGTCCTCACAGAAGCCCAGAGCTGCCACACTCCCCCCACCCCGGGGGCTCCCACCTAACGCCTGGGACCCTCCCCCTCCCCAGAGACTTCAGGGGAGACTCTGCTGGTACCTGATGTCCGGGTACTTGCTGACCAGAGTCGAGACCTCCAGGTAGAGCAGGGAAGGGTCCGTGAGCTTAATGACCTCTGCGACGGCGACGATGGTGTCACAGTAGCTGTCCATCTCCTCTCCAAAGCCCTGCGGGTCCGCACGGCGCTGAGCGGTGTACACACCCGGGGCTCCGCCCGGCTGCCCAGTGCCCACCTCCTTCGCAGCAACCCCTCAGGACTCGCTCCTCACAGAGGGCTCAGGAAGAGGCGGGAGGCAGCCCAGGCCTTCTGACGGACTGGGACACTAAGCGCCCCCACCCCCCGCCCCCGGCCAGGCCGGTCCCAGCAGGAAGATGTGGCCGCACTCACCGAAGCCAGCTTGCGGAAGAGGAAGCGCAGCTGCTCGGCCTCGCGCACCATGCGCTCCGCGCCGTCCTTGCGCTCCTCAGCGCTGCGGAAGGAGATGCGCTTCTGCATGACGGCCCGCAGGTACTCCTGCACCGCGCGCCGGTGCGCCTCGGCGATCATCCGCTGCGGACAGGGCTCGGTCAGCCTTCCCGTCTCAGTGACACGATTTCGGTGTCTACAGAGTTCTGAGGCTTTCTTACAAACTCGAGTTTAGCAAGGCAGCAAGTTCACCGTGTTTCATGTTTGGGAAAAGGGCAGATGCGGCAGCCACAGGGCCGCAGCCAGAGGCTGGCTCCGCCCAGGTGCGCTCAGGCCGGTCCTAGAATAAAGCGCCTGCGGGGGGGGGGGGCGGGCCCTGCCTGCAGCCTTGCCCAACATGTTCTGGGCACAAACCGGCTGCTGCGTGCTTCCTGTGGGGGCAAGGCGGTGGGTGCCAGCTCTGCCTCCCTGCCTGAGACCCCTTCAGGGGCTCACGGGCTGCCCTGGGGCACTGGGGCTGGTCTCCTCGCCCTGCCGGGCCTCCACACACCTCTGAGCGACTCAGCTCATGGGGAATGTGGACCCAGTGCGAGGACTGGGCTCCGGCCAGGCCCCTGCTTGGCCCCTCCCACGTCACACCCGTGATCAGAAGGCTCCTCAACACTGGTCTCTGTGGACAGCATGACTCTGGGAGTATGTTGGAGAAGGCTGTGGTTCTCTCCAGGGCCCACCCTCAGTGATAGACAGACCCCAGGCAGTCACCTGTGAACATGTGAGCACAAAAGTGCCAACACAACACACAACATCAGGGCCCTGAGAAGAGACATGAGAAGCCCCTTCTACCAGGGAAGCCGGGAAGCTCCTTCCCTGCACTGAAGTGAGGGGGACCCCAAGGTCCCCAAACAAGACAAAGCAAGACAGTGCCCAGCAGCTCAGGGATCCGGGTGAGGCCAGGCTCTCAGCAGAGCAGATGATCCCACAGGAGCGGGCGAGCCACAAGCCCAGGCTGAGGACTTTACACACCACTGTCAGATCAAAGTTAGAGAAGGTTCAAAAAAATAAAAGGTGGAACCAAAAACTGTACAAGCAACAAGAAATTAAAAACTGAATTAACCTTAACCTCTAACCATCAGGGGCTCCCGACACTGAGACGGGGTCATCAGGGTCAGGACTCCCTCAAGGTCTGGGGGTTAGCACAGCTCGCTCCCAGCACAGGGGCCCTGGGTTAGATTCCCAGTTGGGGAGCTAAGATCCCACATGCTGCAGCTAAACACAGGCAACTACTGAGTCTGCACACACTAAAGCCCTTGAGCCACAGTGAAGACCCAGGGCAGCCTAAATAAACAAAAAAATAAAATAAAAAACCAAAACACCAGGTTGTCCCTGCATCACTCTGATGACAGAGTTAGAATTTAAACTTTCAAATGAGACAAAGATGCCCCTTCCTGGAGATCCCAGCCAGGGCAGCAAGAAGAGAAGATACGAAGCCACAGGGTGACGCTGCTCGAAAATGAAACAACCGTTTCCATGGAGCCCTGAGAGGACCTGGAGACACGCCTCCAAGTGTCTGGACCCGAGTGCCCGGTATCAAAACACACACGTTTCCGTAGGGCAAAAACAGAAATCCTGACTTTAAAGCAACAACAGCAAAACCCGCCCAAGGCCCTGACGATTGTCCCCGAGCTGCCCCAGTGGCTGCCAGACCCCTGAATGGGGACAGGGCATCTCACGGGGCCTGGAGGGACCAGTGTGCCCTCTGCTGAGTGGCACTCAGCACAGAGCTGAGAGCACAGACGAGCAGAGGGCACTGCCGCTCCTGCCCTCTCGTCAGAGCCGCAGCTAGTGCCCCACCCTCTCTCGGCACGGCCCCTGCTGAGCAGGCCCCGCCGCCATGGGGCTCTGGGACTGCAGCTGTGCCAGCGTGGCCATGGGCAGCATGGTGGACGCCCCGTCACCTTCAGACACCATTGTCTCCAACCTGCTTGGGGCCCAAAACCACCCCTGAATTCTCACCCTGAGAACTAATGACACCAGATTCTACAGGAGATGCCTGGGGACTGAGACCACATGGGGGCCCCATGATCTTTCTTACCTTTCTATACGGCTTCTTAATTTTGGCAAAATCATTGAAATAGTCTTCCACAGTGACACAGATGATGTCTACAGCATTTGACCCTAACAGCCACTTCTTTGTCATCAACTCATTGAGATGTTGCTGGAAGCAGAAACCACAGAAAATACCCTCGTGACGGCCCGTCATGGGGAATGGGGTGCCGAGAGTCCACCTTCGCACACCTGCCTGATGTTGTGATCATGACCGCCACACTTGTGCAGAAACCCTGCACACACACACTTTTCCCACACGAGACTTACACTACACTTGATGGAGGCATCTGTGCATGCATGTTTCACCTGAACTGACTACATCTATTTATTGTGTGGATGCTCTGTAACTAATTACTCAATTCTGATGGACATTTAAAATGTCTCATTTTTCAATTATAAAGAAAGCTGCGGTAAATCTGTATGTTTCTGTAGGTGAAACTCCCAAAACCAGAACTGCTGAGTCAAAAGGTAGCAAACTACAACCCTCATGACTGCTGCCTCCAACACTTATACCAACTGCCCCCAAAACCGCACCAATTCACAGTATTGTAGAGAATACAAGAGTCTCTCTTTTTCCTCAAGTCCTATCACTGTGTGGTAGAAATGTTCTTAATCTGTGCCAGCCCAGTAAGCAACACAAACACCGTTTTAATCTACATTTCTTAGAAGATCGCTAAGACTGGGCATTCTGTCTCCTACTCAGGACATAGACTACTCCCTTCCATGTGAAATACTACTCATGTCCTTTGTCTATTTCTCTATTATGTTGTCTTTTTAAACAGTTCCTTTGTTTTCTAACCATTTCTCAGACAGACATCATGAAATATCCTGCCCATAACCCCAGGAGCTCCTCCCTGCAGGACCCAAGTCATCATGACTCTGCTTTTTAGTATATCCTGGTTCCTGCCATCCCTGGATAATGTGAGCCATTTCTGTGTTTCTAAGTAAACTCGCGTGCTCGTCACACTCCACGCCTCTGAGGTGACCTGCCTGGGCCTCACTCCTGACTGTGAGCCATCCTCTGCTCACAGTTGAGCCAGCTGAGGACAGAGTGCAGGCCGGTGCGTGGCTCAGTCCAGAACTTGCCAGCAAACACCACCAGCTCCCACCCCGAAACTGCTGGGACACTTCCTGGAAGCGTGTCTATGCAACACCGTGTCGGGAGGGCCCAGCACAGGGCAGGGGAGAAAGCGCCCACCTCCAGGTCCAGGAAGACTTCCTCCAGCAGGCTGCCGCAGCCCTCTTTAGCAATCGCGTCCAAAACCCCATCCATGCTTGGCTGGCTCAGAGAAATGCCTTCTTCCGCCTCGTGCTTCAGATACTTCCTTTTTAAACTGACTACAGATTCTCTGCAGGAGACAAGACAGGGTGCCGTGAGGTGGCTGAGGGCGCGCCCCGCCCCGCCAGCCCCCGCCGCGGCTCACTTGAAGGTCTGGCAGTTGTTGACGAGGGCGACCATGTACTGCACGTAGCAGTGCGGGTGCTGCCGGTTCCGCAGGTGCTCGTCTCTGTACAGCTGCGCCTCCTCCTTGTACCTGCAGACACGGGGCAGTCAGCGCGGCGAGCCCCGCGCCCGGCACACGGCCCCCACGGACCCCTCACGGGGGCCCAGAGTGAGAGACCGGGGAGGGGGCGGCCTACGCTAACAGTAGCTCGTCGATTACAACATTTTATTATGAATTTCATATCAGGCCTTGAAATATGGCTCTATATTCTGATTATACAAATATTCTGAAACGTTTGTACCTGGGAAACTATTATCTGACATGTAACTCATCTAGAAACTCACACAGTAGTGTTGGGAGCACAATCAAATGTTAGATAAAGCGTCCTTTTCTGAAACTTCCCCCAAAGAAATCAAACTGAAAATACATCAGACTTTAAGAAGTCAGAAGCAGAAACGGAGACAGCCGCACACTTCACTTCTGAACGTTCTCTGGAGGTGCTCAGACAGACGCAGAAGCAGAATACAGCACACCTGCGATCTGCGCACGTTTTCAGAGCATCTTCAGGACGGAGCAAACTGAACAAGGGTGACTGAAGGGGAGTAATTAAGCATTAACTCCAGTGTTCTGCCCAAAGCATGGCTCGGCTAACCATACAGCTGAGGCTGATAAGGACAATGTGCCTCGCAGGGGAATCCCCACAAGACGTCCCACTCGGCACAGGACTCTCGCGGATAGAGGCCAACAGGGCCTCGATGCAGGGCCGGGCTGTCGGCACCTGAGCCACCGGGGCAGGCGTGCGGAGGACATGGGCCTGCTGTGTTCCAGCCTAGCAGTGAGGAGACACAGAGAGGCCTCAGCCTCTCTCAGGGTCTGGTCCGGGGCAGACGGCAGCTTGAGGCCTGGTGGGAGAGCCCGGGGCACTGACAGGAGGGCGTGTGGTCTCCACGGGCCAGGCCGTCCGCTGACCCGGCCTGGGTGTACCACTGTGTGAGCAGGCAGGTCCGACACCAGTGGGGACCCCAAACACAGCACGGTGCTGCAGGGGCCCGGCAGCCGCTCATGGCTGTCGTGTGCGAGTCAAGGGCATTGAGGTCAGGGCAGGCAAGCAGGCGAGCCACACCACAGGCTCTGGCATCCGCAGTCAAGCACGGCTGACCCCTGAACGTGGGTTTGAACCGCACAGGTTCACGGCCACATGTATTTTCTCAGTCACTGTGCCCGCTGCCCAACGGGAGCCGAGGCTGGCTGAAGCTGTGGACTTGGGACCATGGGCAGGACGGCCGCCTGGGAGGTGCTTTGTGGACCTGCAGCTGCAGCGGGGGGCCACCCTCCAGGGCCTGCATCTTGCTCTGAGTCAACTGTACTTCAGCACAACAGGGGAAGGGAACTAGATGAGGTCCAGGGTGGCTTTAAGTGGACAGCTCTGAACCTGGACAGTGGGCGAAGCTCTTGTGTCACTCTGCCTCTGTCTGTGTCTGAAAATCTCCTTCATGAACAATTCAGAGGTGGGGGGCATCCCTGTGTGGTACTAGTCTTTGAGTACCTTCCTTCCTTCTGAGGGAAGGTGGCCTCCCCAGCCCCCGAGGAAGGCAGCCTGGAGGCGGCTCCCGGCTCCACCCCTGCAGGAGCTCCAGCCTCCCTCCCTGACCCCGCTCAGGGCCCCCACAACACCCAGGACCCCAGGGGGTGCCCTCATGCAAAAGGCAGATAGTAAGTCAGGGTGTGAGTTCTAAATAACAGAAGAAGGTGACTATGATGAATCCAACCTTATAGTCTTTTTTAATACTAGCCAGACTAAGATCAACACAGTTTAGCTTTTCATTAAAAAAAATAATAATAACAAAAAATACACTTTATAATTAGCACACTGGTAAGAATACATACCTACTTAAGAAAGAATTCATTTGCTGAAGACACAAAACTAGTACCTTTGTTTTCAAATCTTCACTTATCTGAGCAGCAACTTGAAGGTTCTGCTCGAACATCTAAAAATTGGAGAACTTATGAACTTTGATATAAAGTCATGAGGATACAAGTTTCCCATATCAGTCCCCCAGAAGTTAACTGGTAGTTAGGACAACCCAAATTCAGAGAAAAAAATGAAGCCACTTGAAAAATAACAAAGTTAATTCAACAAACACACAAAACTTTCTCAGCAGGTTGAAAAAAGAAGCCAAAACCCCCAGCGAACCATTTCCTGATCACCTGCAGATCCCCCCGGGAGACACACGTTCTCTCGGGAAGCCGGGGGCCAGGGCAGCTGAGGTCACGTGGGGACCGGTGCCGGCATGTCGGTCCCTTTGAAGAACTGGGAGAATAAACCCAGGAGCAGGGGCACCAGATGAGGACAGGTGGGGAAGGACCAGAAGGCAGAGCCTGCCCCCATCATCACAGTCAGTCTCCAAATAAAGGAAGGGGTGGGCCCAACACGCCAGAGACCAACAAGGCCACCCACGGCCCACCCAATGCCCAGCTCCGTGTTTCAGGAGTGTGTGAACATGGTCAGTAACACTTCTGAAAAGAGACTGAACAGGCCAGAAGGAGGCAGGCAAGCCCACTCAAGGACACAGCAGGCGTCAAAAAGCAGACTGACTGTACGAGCACACGATTACCCTAGAAATCCACAGGGCTCCCCCAAAGTACATCAGATTAGACTCGCCTAGGCTGTGTTTATGAAGACACGAACCTTGGCCAGTTACCTCAGGAAGTAAGCACCAGACACGTAACATATAATTACTGGGTTGGCCAAAACATGAGTCTGGTGTCTTCCATAAGACGGCTCTAGTAGCACTTAGTTGTCTTTAACGTCATTCAAACAGTTCTGTTAGACTGTGTCCAGACAGCTTCATATCAGCATGCATTTTTTCTTTCTAAAAATTGGTGAATTTTTTAGCCATCTGTATGTCTTCCTTGGAGAAATGTCTGTTGAGTTCTTTGGCCCATTTTTTGATTGGGTCATTTATTTTTCTGGAGTTGAGCTGGAGGAGTTGCTTGTATATTTTTGAGATTAATCCTTTGTCTGTTGCTTCGTTTGCTATTATTTTCTCCCAATCTGAGGGCTGTCTTTTCACCTTGCTTATAGTTTCCTTTGTTGTGCAAAAGCTTTTAAGTTTCATTAGGTCCCATTNAAAACGCATCATCTTCCATCAGCATAACATAAACCTGCATGTGTCTCTGATGACCAGGCAAAAAGCGTTACAGCCTGGATGGGAAGTTCTGATTCATTTGCTGTGTTCACCAGACAGGGCACCTTCAGAATGCCATTTATTTCAGTCTTTATAAAATTCTTTTAATGGAAACAATTTCAGTTCTCTGGAAGACTATAAAAGGAACTGGAACAGCTCTTTGCTCAAAAAGATAAAAAACTTTTGGGAAGATGGGATTATGAAGTTGCCTGGATATATGGCAGAAGGTAGTAGAACAGTGAATACTTTGATTAATAAAGTTCTTGGTGAAAATGAAAAATGTGCCTTTTATTCAAAAGTTGAAGAACTTTTTGGCCAACCCAATAGCTTCTAGATTGAAATAAAAAACCACTAGGAACACAGAAGATGTAGGGTTCTGTGACCATGGGCAAAACTACTTGGCTAGCCTGACCCCTGGCTCCCCAGCTCTGGAGAGAAAAAGGCTCTCCCTGAGGTCAGCATGCAACTATGTATGTGTGAAGCCCCTCAAGGCCCCACACGGGTGTGTGTGTGTGTTTGTGTGTGTGTGTGTGTGTGTGTGTCTGTGTATCTGTATGTCTGTGTGTGTGTCTGTGTATCTGTGTGTGTGTCTGTGTGTGCGTGCGCGCGCGTGTGTGTGTGAGGCTCTGCGGGCGCGTACCTGGAACACGATGGCAGGCAGTGTCGTCTGATAGTAGCCGTCCTGGTCGGCCTCGGGCTCCGTCTCCTTCACCCAGTCCTTCTTGTCCGTTTCCAGGGCTTTCCGCAGCCAGGCAATGATGTTGGACTGAGCCACAGGGAGGACAGAGCCGGCCATGGAGTCGACACCCCATCTTGGGGGTGCAGCTGCAGAGCAGCCTGCCCACCACCCCTCACCCTGGGCCCCGAGGGCTCGGGAGATGCCCTGACCCCACCCGCCCCTCCTGCTCCTGGCTCTGCACTCAGCCCAGGGGATGGGCAGGTCCGGCCTCCAGCGGAGGAGGTTCCATTCGATTCAGAAGGGGCCGCCCTCCCTCCACCCCTCCTCCGTGTGGGACCAACCGTGACTCACAGTCAGAGTGGACATGTAGGTGTCGAGCAGTACAGAGACCACGTCTGCGGAGAGCAAAGGTTCCAGAAGGGCCACGTCCACCTCGGGGGCCAGCTCCGCATTCCCCATCATCTCCACGCTGTGGCAAAGGGGGGGCCAGACAGACAGACTGACTACCAGGGAGGCGGGAGACAGACTGACTGACTGACCACCAGGCAGGCAGGCAGGATGAGACAGACAGACTGACCACCAGGCAGGCAGGAGGATGAGACAGGCAGACTGACTGACCACCAGGCAGGTGGGAGGATGAGACAGACAGACAGACTGACCACCAGGCAGGCTGAAGGATGAGACAGACAGACAGACTGACCACCAGGCAGGCGGGAGGATGAGACAGACAGACAGACTGACCACCAGGCAGGCTGAAGGATGAGACAGACAGACAGACCACCAGGCAGGTGGGAGGATGAGACAGACAGACAGACTGACCACCAGGCAGGCTGAAGGATGAGACAGACAGACAGACAGACCACCAGGCAGGTGGGAGGATGAGACAGACAGACAGACTGACCACCAGGCAGGCGGAAGGATGAGACAGACAGACAGACTGACCACCAGGCAGGCGGAAGGATGAGACAGACAGACTGACTGACCACCAGGCAGGCGGGAGACAGACAGACTGACCACCAGGCACGCAGGAACCCCTCAGGAGGGCTGCTCCCGGGCCGGGGCTCGCTCAGCTCCGGGGACTGGAGCGAGGCAGCCCCTCCCACAGCCCTGAGGCTGGAGGGGAGGTCCGTCTGCCTCCCATGGCCCCTGGGGACGCGCAGGGCCCAGCAGGCAGGAGGCCCCAGGAGCCAGGGAATGAGCCCTGGGTTTAGACGTGTGGCGCGGGCGCTAACCCTGATGCTCCTGCGAAAGGACAGGGCCCAGAGTGGGCACCATCTGATGTCTGCACCCAGCCCCTGGGGCCAAGGAGGCCGGAGTGTGGACCGAGCGCTGGGAAAGAGCTTTCACAAAAAACATGAAAGCGAGGTACGAGACTCAGTTCCCAGAAGGCCAGGGCTGACCGCTCTGATGACTCCTTAAGCACGGGTCCAGAATGACAACCCTAGGTACTAACAGCATCCAACACCCGTAAGGAACCCCAGATCTTCCTGCATTAAAAAGTACCTCACGACACTCTACAAACACCCAAAGACCATTTACAGTCTAGACTATTTCTGCCCCAAGAACCTTAATTCTGCATGAACATGTTTCTAGTGTGGAAACAGCGCAATGTTTCCCTTGAGAAAGTCCCACACAACAGAACATGATGAACAATAGGAGGCGTCAAAGAACTGCCACTGAGAGAACAGCGCTTAACCACATGGTGAATGAGAAACAAGGTAAGACCGACAGCACGCAAGACACACAAGTGCACACACCGCAGTCTGGTGGGTCGACCACGGCAGGGGCCCAGATCCCAGACTCAAGTCCTGCTCCCCACCGGCCGGCCGACTGACCCTGGACACAGTCCCCCAGGCCTCAGAGCAAAGGGGACGATGAGAGGCCTTCCTCGGGGGTGACCCACGGGGCCTATGCGCTAGGGATGGCTGTGGCGGGTGGCCGGCGCATAGGGAGATCGGAGGCCCCAGCCCAGCCCAGTGGCTGCAAGTGCGTCAGTCACAACAGACGTTTTCTTTCTCTTCACATTTTCCTGTATTGAAATGTGCACATGTACACATTCTTTACTATAAGCAGTTACCAAACAACAAACAAAACACAGACCAAAGAAATCCCCAAACCATGCTTCCATGGTAGTGAAGAATCTGCCTCAAAAGGTAGGGGACACTGGTTCAACCCCTGATCTGGGAAGATGCCACATGCCGTGGAACAACTAAGCCTGCACGCCACAACTGCTGAAGCCCGCACCCCTGGACTCTGTGCTCCGCAATAGCAGGAGCCACCATGGTGAGAAGCCCGTGCACTAGAACTAGAGAGGAGCCCCCACCTGCTGCACCTGGAGAAAGCTCACACACAACAATGAAGATCCAGCACAAAAAAACAAATAAAAGCAATTAAATTTTAATTTATAAGTAACTAAATTTTAATTAATCAAATTCATCAATTAAGAAATAGTTTAAAAACATCCCCAAACCTTACTACTACAACAAGAGGTTCAATTTCTACACATCAGCGACAAGACAGGCTAGGATAAATTGAGCTTCCCTCTCACTACTGCTGCTGCTGCTGAGTCGCTTCAGTCGTGTCCGACTCTATGTGGCCCTATAGACGGCAGCCCACCAGGCTCCCCCGTCCCTGGGATTCTCCAGGCAAGAACACTAGAGTGGGTTGCCATGTCCTTCTCCAACACAGCAAAGTGAAAAGTGAAAGTGAAGTCGCTCAGTCGTGTCCACCAGGCTCCTCTGTCCATGGGATTTTCCAGGTGGCAGTACTGGAGTGGGGTGCCATTGCCTTCTCCCTCTCACTAGCTAACCTTAAAGACTTTGACAACCCCCCAACCCCACCTTGTTCTTCAAGTCCAACCTCAAAATAATGCTGGCACACAGTGACTCACAGCCCTTTCATGGAGTGTCAAAAACCTCAAGGCCGAAGAGCAAAAGGATGGCTGATTCTCTGAGCACACAGGGGAGGAGAAACCAGACTCGGGGTGTCAGAAGCCAGCGAGGGCGACTGGGGCCCCTTCAGCAGCCACATGACTGTGCAGGTCACGGAGCCTCTGGGTTAGACGGCCAACACCTCCTGCTCCTGAGGTCACCGCGGGGCACACGCAATGCTGAGCTGCTCACCAGTGTCCAGGCGCAGGAGCCCCCGAGCACAGGAGCCTTTGCATGACCCAACCCCGGATCACAGGCAGCCCAGGAAGGAAACGCGTCTGCCAGAGGCAACGCCTGCGGGTGCCAGGTGCCTGCCCTGCGCCGAGGACCCAGCAGCTGTGCAGGTTGCCAGCGGCCTATGGAACAGGAGACGCCGTGTGTGAAGGGGGAGTTACCTGGTGTAAGTGTTCAAAACCCAGGTCAGCAGGCTGACGATCTCGTTCGCTTCCAGGTCCTCCGCCGCAAGGTCCTGCATGCGTGCGCTCAGAGCCTGGTGGTACGTGCGAAGCAGGCTCCGGAAGATCTCGTAGTGTGGTGGGAAGCACTGCGCCAGCAGGTTCTTGGCGACGATGAGGTCGTCCAGCACGTACTTCCGTATGATCTCCAGGTGGCGTACAAGCCACATCCTGTCCGACTCCCTGGTGTCTGCCTGCGTACCCTCGATCCTGGTGGTCACCGTTCTGTCCAGGATGGTGAACATCTTCTCCTTCCAGTTCTTGGGTCTTCCAGGGGGCACAAAGCCAGTTTGCTTCTTCCGGTCAAGAATGCGCCGGTCGATCCTCTCTTCCCTCTCAATGATCCTGACGACGGAGACGAGCAGGGTGGGGTCCCGGCGCACGGTGACCAGCGACCTCTGCAACACCACCCACAGCTGCTTGGCCAACTCATCGGACAGGCCCTGCGTGCTCCCGAAGTAGCTGCGGATGAGCGTCATGTCGCGTGCGTTCCCGCTGTCCATGCGGTACTGCTCATACATCAGCCCGTCCCGGGAGCACTCCAGGTCCATCAGCTTCCGGTGGGCTTGCAGCAGCTCCCCACGCTCTATAAGGTCCTGCGTCTCCCTCACGATCTCGGGCACTGGGGGGAAGGCAAAGATGGCACCGTGAAACACCAACGCAGGGCAGCACAGGGTGCCAGGCCAAGGGCAGACAAGGGCAGTCAGGAACCCGCCCCCACTGGACAACCACCACACCCACAGGACTCAGGTGAGGGGCCACACACTGTGGAGCTGTGGGGGCTACTGAAGGCTCACACCTTCCAGGGAAAGGCATGAACAGGATTTCAGCTCTCAGCACAGTAGAAAAGTAGAAATTGACTACAAATGACCAGGAGAGGCACAGGCTCAGAAAGACCTGAGAAGACTTTAAGTTTACATGCCAGCCTGGTCCTCAACAGAGACATAGCCTACGACAGTCAAAACAGCAAAACTAATAAATAAAATCAGCATACCCTGGCAAAGAGGAACATCTGACTTCCAGAGCCACGTGTTAATTAGATTCAAACGTCCACTGCTCAACAAGAGCACAAGGCAACCAAAGATGGAGAAGAGAAGAGAGTCAAAGGGAAAACCAGAAACCATCCCGGAGAAGGACAGACAGTGGACCAGACAAGGACTCGAAGACAAGTTCCCCAACATGCTCAAAGAACTACAGGCAAATGTGGACAGACGTGTAACTGAATGAAAAACTTACTTCAGATTCTCAAAACAGATTTGAGTGAGCAGAAGAAGGAATCAGCAAACGAAGACAGGACAAAGGAAATGATCAATCATGAGGATAAAAAGGAAAAAAACTAGAGAAGAGAGGACAGAGCCTCCAGGGCTTGTGTGTCACCACTGGGCTGACCTGCGTGCACACGCAGGAGCCGGAGGAGGAGAGCAGGTGCACACACCTGCCTCACAGACGCTGTGCGTTTCTACCAGCTGAAGGTCTGCAGTGACCCTGCATCAAGCAAGCTTACCGGCACCACGTTGCCGACATCATTTGCTCCCTTCATGTCTCTGTGTCACATTTTATTCTTCTATTATCTTGAAACATTTCACATTTATAGGACATTCCATCTGAAAGCAGAATACGCTCTCCTCTCATGTGCACACAGAACACTCTCCAGGATAGATCACATGTGCCAGCAAAGTCCCTGCAGTCGTGTCCACTCTTTGTGACCCTACGGCCAGGCTCCTCTGTCCATGGGATTCTCCAGGCAAGAATACTGGAGTGGGTTGCCATGCCCTCCTCCAGGGCAGCTTCCCCACCCAGGGGTAAAACCTATGTCTCTTAAGTCTCCTGCATTGGTAGGTGGGTTCTTTACAACTAGTGCCACCTGGTGGGTCACCAATCAAGCCCTGGTAAATTTAAGGAGACTGAAATAGTACCAAGTATCTTTTCTGACCAGAATGTTATGAGATTAGAAATAAATTAGAGAAAAAAAAAAACCTGCAAAAAACATAAACATATGGTGGCTAAACAACATGTTACGAAATAAGAAATCACTGAGGAAATTAAAAAATACATAGAAACAAATGATGACAAAAACACAACCACCCAAACCTAAGGGATGCAGCAAAAGCAGTTCTAAGAGGGAAGTTTCTAGTAATTCAACCCTATCTCAAGAATCAAGAAAAATCTTAAACAACCAACCTAACCTCACACCTAAAGCAACTGGAGAAAGAATAAACAAAATCCAAAGTTACTAGAGAAAAGAAATTATGAAAATCAAAGAAGTAAATGAAATGAAGAAAATAATAGCAAACCCAATGAAACTAAAATAAAAGCTAGTTCTTTGAGAAGACAAACAAAATTGATACACCTTTAGCCAGGCTCATCAAGGAAAAAAGGGAGACGTTTCAAATAAAAGAATTAGAAATGAAAATGGAGAAATTATTAATACAACTGACACTGCAGAAATACAAAGCTCATAAGAGACTACTGTCACCAACTATATGTCAATAAAATGCACAATCTAGAAGTGAACAAATTCTTAGAAAGGTATAACCTTCTAAGACTGAGTCAAGAAGAAGTAGACAGACTAATCATAAGTGATGAAATTGAAACTATAATTAAAAATCTTTCAACAAACAAAAGCCCAGAACCAGATAGCCTCACAGACAAATTCTACCAAACATTTAGATAAGAGCTAACACTCAATTCTTCTCAAACCCTTCCAAAAAATCGCAGAGGAACACTTTCAAATTCATTCTATGAAGCCATCACCACCCTAATACCAAAACCAAGGTTTAACAAAAAAAATTACAGACCAACATCACTGATAAACATGGATGCAAAAATCCTCAACAAAATACTACCAAACAGAATCCCACAATGCATTAGAAGCACATATACCATGACCAAGTAGGAGTTATCTCCAGGGTGGAAAGATTCTTCAATATATGCAAATCAATCGATGTCATGCACCATATTAACAAATTAAAGAATAAAATTCATATGATCCTCTCAATAGATGCAGAAAAAGCTTCTGACAAAATTCAAAAGCCACGTAAGATAAAACTCTCCAGAAGGCAGGCAAAGAGGGAACCTACCTCAACATAGTAAAGGCCACATATGACAAACCCACAGCAACCATCATTCTCAAAGGTGGAAAAACTGAAAGCATTTCCTCTAAGATTAGGAATAAGACAAGGGTGCCCACCCTCACCACTATTATTCAACACAATTTTCGAAGTTCTAGCCAGGGCAATCAGAGAAGAAAAAGAAATAAAAAGAATCCAAATTGGAAAAGAAGACATAAAAACTGTCACTGTTTGCAGATGACATAATACTATTACATTCATAGAAAATCCTAAAGATGTCACCAATTAGAGCTAATCAATGAATTTGATAAAGGTGCAGGACAAATTAATGAACAGAAATCTCTTGCATTATTAAGGAAACAATCCCATTTATCATTTTATCCAAAGAACAAAATACATACGACTAAACCAATCCAAGGAGACAAAAAAAGAAATGCAACAAGGCAAAGTGGTTGTCTGAGGAGGCCTTACAAATAGCTGAGATAAGAAGAGAAGCGAAAGGCAAAGGAGAAAAGGAAAGATATACCCAACTAAATGCAGAGTTCCAAAGAAGAGCCAGGGGACAGAAGAAAGCCTTAAATGAACAAGGCAAAAAAAAAAAAAAAAAGAAGAAAACAACAGAATGTGATTTAGTGATCTCTTCAAGAAAACTGGAGATACCAAGGGAATACTTCATGCAAAGATGGGCACGATAAAGGATAGAAACAGCAAGGACCTACAGAAGCAAACTGGATTAAAAAGAGGGGGCAAGAATACAAAGAACTGTACAAAAAAGGTCTTAATGACCCGGATAACAATGATCATGTGGTCACTCACCTAGAGCCAGATATCTTGGAATGCGAAGTCAAGTGGGCCTTAGGAAGCATCACTACAAACAATGCTAGTGTAGGTGATGGAATTTCAGCTGAGCTATTGCAAATCCTAAAAGATGATGCTGTTAAAGGCTGCCCTCAATATGCCAACAAATTTGGAAAACTCAGCAGTGGCCACAGGACTGGAAAAGGTCAGTTTTCATTCCAATTCTAAAGAAGGGCAATGCCAAAGAATGTTCAAACTACCAAATAATTGCACTCATTTCACATGCTAGTAAAATAATGCTTAAAATCCTTCAAGCTAGGCTTCAGTAGTACATAAATCAAGAACTTCCAGATGTTCAAGCTGGATTTAGAAAAGGCAGAGGAACCAGAGATCAAATTGCCAACATCCACTGGATCATCAAAAAAGGAAGAGAGTTCCAGAAAAACATCTACTTCATCACTGACTACGTTAAAGCCTTTAACTGCGGAGCACAACAAACTGTAGAAAATCCTTCAAGAAATGGAAATACCAGAACTCCTTACCTGTCTCCTGAGAAACCAGCATGCAGGTCAAGAAGCAACAGTTAGAACCGGACATGGAACAATGGACTAGTTCAAAATTGGGAAAGGAGTACATCAAGGCTGCATATTGTCACCCTGCTTATTTAACTTCTATGCAGAGTACATCATGCAAAATGCCAGTCTGGATGAAGCACAAGCTGGAATCAAGATTGCCGGGAGAAATATCAATGACCTCAGATATGCAGATGACATCACCCTTATGGCAGAAAGCAGAGAGGATCTAAAGAGCCTCTTGATAAAAGTGAAAGAGGAGAGTGAAAAAGCTGGCTTAAAACTCAACATTCAGAAAACTAAATTCAAGGCACCTGGTCCCCTCACTTCATGGCAAATAGATGGGGAAACAGTGGAAACAGTGACAAATTTTATTTTTATGGGCTCTAAAATCAAGGCAGATGGTGACTGCAGCCATGAAATTAAAAAACACTTGCTCCTTGGAAGAAAAGCTATGACAAACTTAAACAGCATATTAAAAAGCAGAGACATCACTTTGTCAACAAAAGTCCATATAGTTAAAGCCATGGTTTTCCAGAAGTCACGTGTATGGATGTGAAAGTTGGACCATAAAGAAGGCTGATAGCTGATGAATTGAGGCTTTTGAATTGTGCTGGAAAATGACTCTTGAGAGTGCCCTGGACTGCAAGGGGGGGTTTTCCTGGTGGCTCAGATGGTAAAGAAACTGCAATGCAAGAGACCCAGGTTTGATCCCTGGGCCAGGAAGATCCTCTGGAGGAGGAAATGGCAACCCATTCCAGTATTCTTGCCTGGCAAATTTCATAAACAGAGGAGCCTGGTGGGCTACAGTCCATGGGGGTCACAAAAAGTTGAACAAGACTGAGCGACTAGTCACAGTGGGTGGACTGCAAGGAGATCGAACCAGTCAATCCTAAAGGAAATCAACTCTGACTATTCACTGGAAGGACTGATGCTAAAGCTCCAATACTTTGGCCACCTGATAGGAAGAGCCAACTCACTGGAAAAGACTCCGATTCTAGGAAAAACTGAGGGCAGGAGAAGGGGGTGACAGAGGAGAAGATGACTGGATAGCATCATTGACTCAATGGACATGAGTTTGAGCAAACTCTAGGAGATAGTGAAGGACAGGGAAGCCTGTCATGCTGCAATCCAGGGGCGGCAAAGAGTCAGACACCACTTAGCGACTGAACAAGAATGACAATGAGGAGACAAACGATCTATATGCAGAAAACTGTTAAGACAGTGATGAAAGATATCAAAGACGACACAGATGGAGAGATACACCATGTTCTTGGATAGGAAAATCAATATGGTGAAAATGACCATACTACTATACTACCTAGACCAATCTACAGATTCAATGCAATCCCGATCAAATTACCTGGCATTTTTCACAGAATTAGAACAAAAAGTTTTACAGTCTTTATGGAAACACAATAGTGGTACAGAACCCACCTGCCAATGCAGGTTAAATGTAAGAGACACAGGTTCAATCCCTGGGCCTGGAAAATGGAAATTATAGCTATATTGGCAAATTACAACTATAAACACTTACATTAAAAAGGAAGAAAGATTTCATATCAACAACCTAACTTCACAACCTAAGGAACCAGGAAAAGAGTAAGGTAAACCCTCACCTATAATGGAAAAGAACATGAAAAAGAGCAGAATATACATACATATATGTGTGCAACTAAACCACTTTGCTGGATACCAGAAACTAACACAACATTTTAAGTCAAGTATACTTACTTTTAATATTCTCCCAATCCCGAAGAAAGGCAATGCCAAAGAATGTTCAAACCACCACACAATTGCACTCACCTCACATGCTAGCAAATTAATGCTCAAAATTCTCCAAGCCACGCCTCAACATTATGTGAACCAAGAACTTCCAGATGTTCAAGCTGGATTTAGAAAAGGCAGAGGAACCAAAGATCAAATTGCCAAAATCCGCTGGATCATTGAAAAAGCAAGGGAGTTCCAGAAAAACATCTACTTCTGCTTTATTGACTGCGCCAAAGCCTTTGACTGTGTGGATCACAACAAACGGTGGAAGATTCTTCAAGAGATGGGAATACCAGACCACCTGACCTGCCTACTGAGAAATCTGTATGCAGGTCAGGAAGCAACAGTTAGAACTGGACATGGAATAACAGACTGGTTTGAAATCGGGAAAGGAGTATGTCAAGGCTGTTTATTGTCACCCTGCTTATTTAACTTATATGCAGAGTACATCATGAAAAATGTCAGACTGGATGAAGCACAAGGTAGAATCAAGATTGCCGGGAGAAATATCAATAACCTCAGATACACACATGACACCACCCTTATGGCAGAAAGTGAAGAGAAACTGAAGAGCCTCTTGATGAAAGTGAAAGAGGAGAGTGATAAAGCTGACTTAAAACTCAACATTCAAAAAACTAATATCATGGCATCCGGTCCCATCACTTCATGGCAAATAGATGGGGAAACAGAAAACAGTGACAGCCTTTATTTTCTTGGGCTCCAAAATCACTGCAGATGGTGACTGTAGCCATGAAATTAAAATTAAAAGACACTTGCTCCTTGGAAGAAAAGCTATGACCAACCTGGACAGCATATTAAAAAGCAGAGACATTACTTTGCCAACAAAGGTCCGTCTAGTCAAGGCTATGGTTTTTCCAGTAGTCACGTATGTATGCAAGAGTTGGACCATAAAGAAAGCTGAGTGCCGAAGAATTGATGCTTTTGAACTGTGGTGTTGGAGAAGACTCTTGAGAGTCCCTTGCACTGCAAGAAGATCAAACCAGTCCATCCTAAAGGAAATCAGTCTTGAATATTCATTGGAAGGACTGATGTTGAAGCTGAAACTCCAATACTTTGGCCAGCTGATGCAAAGAACTAACTCACTGGAAAAGACCCAGATGCTGGGAAAGATTGAAGGCAGGAGGAGAAGAGGATGACAGAGGATGAGATGGTTGGATGGCATCACTGACCGGATGGACATGAGCTTGAGTAAACTACGGGAGTTGGTGATAAGACAGGGAGGCCTGGTGTGCTGCAGTCCATGGAGTCACAAAGAGTCAGACACAACTGAGCGACTGAACTGAACTGAAAGGAAAGAAAGCTAAACCTAAAGCTATCAAAAGAAACAAAATAAGACTAAAGCAGAGATAAACAGAAAACTGAAACAAAAAAAAAAACAGAAAAATCAAGAAAACCAAAGGTAGTTCTTTGAAAAGATTAACAACTGACAGACCCTACCCAGATGAACTGAGGGAAAAAGAAGACTCAGATACTAAACAGTTAAAGCATGGGCATTACTGCCAATTCTACAGGAAAAAAGGATTAGAAGAGAGCACTGTGAGCAAATGTACACCAACCAGCTGGATAACCAGACGAAGTGCAAATTCCAAAAAACACAAAATCTAAACCACCAAAAAACAGAAAGTCCAAATAACCAGTAAGGGGCTTGGCGGAGGGGCAATGGGAAGCTATCATTAACAGCTGCAGACTTTCAGGTGTTTTCTTTCAGTTTTACCAAGACATAATTTACACACAGCTCTGTGCAGAGTTCCAGTTTTCAAGGTGAAGACAGTCCCTGAGATGGACAGTGATGATGCCTTCACAACGATATGAAAGTACCTCACACTACAGAACTGTACACTTAAAAATGATCAAGATGATAGATTTTATATTGTGCATATTTTATATATTTTAAAGAGAGAAAAGAAAAACAAACAGGCTCTGTTCATAACACTACAGAATTAAAGGCAATGATAAAAGTCTGAAGGGAGACAAAGAAGCACAACATTTTCTCAGTAAAAACACGCTCCTAACGAAAACCACATCTACATCACAGCCCCGTTTTCCATCAAAAGAAATACATTATTTTCAACCTCTATGGATGAACTGGTAGCTTTTTGGTCACTTGGGTTATGTGGATCCAAATGCCATGTGGATGAAAAGGTAACTTTTTAGTCTTCTGGTGTTCATTTTACAAAACCAGAAGAAAATGACAGTCAACAAGAAATTATAAGACAGAAATCAACTAAGAAGGCTCTAAACATCATAAAGGAGATCCTGGGAGGGGGACCGGTCCAATTCCAGGCTGCCAAAGGTCACCAGGAGGGGCTGTGGCCAGGGGCCCGTTGCAGCAGGCAGTGCTGGGTCACTGATGTGGGCAGAGCAGGGCCTCGGAACACGGCCCTAGTTGTCAGGCCCAGGGCAACGAGAATGCACAGAGGGACAGCTCAGTACTCAACAACGCTGCCACCAGACACGCGAGTCCAGAGGAACAGCGCACCCGCGCCGTGGTTCACAGCAGTGGGTGGAGGGGAAGAGCTGAACCAGGTTACATGCAGGGGTCAAGCAGCATGAACACATGGAGACCAGACACCAGAGGAGGGAAGGGAAGGGGTCAGATCACCCTGAGGTTTCTGGCTGGGATGCTGATGGCCGTGACAAAGCTAGCCCCGGACTAGCTCTCGGGGGCAGAGCACGAGGAGGCTCTGCCCCGGTGACGGCTGACACGGAGCACTCTTCTTCATGCCAATGAGGTACTAGGACAGGATTCTGAAAGGGTCACTCACATCCCTGCCGCCCCCTCACCACCGCATCAGCCCCAAGGACTCCTCCAGGCCCGACCTCCATCAGGGCTGGGTCTCCAGGGCTTGGCCGCCCCCAGCCTCCAGCCTGTGCCCAGGCCTCCTGCCTGGGAGCTGCTCCCTCCGGGACCTCTCCTGCGCCTGGCAGGGTCCCGCGAGCCACGTCGCAGCAGAGGGAAGAGCGCGCATCCCTCCCCACGTGCGCTTGTTCGACTCTCCATCTGTCCCTCGGTCCCAAAATATTCAGAACCACACTCTACCAGCCCTTATCTACTCAGCAGACCACCCATCCATGTTCAAAGAAGACCCTAACTGTGCAGGCCGAACCACACCTCTCACCCACTCTGGGTGGGCCCACAAAACACGCCGTCGCAGGACAGCTGAAACCCCCCACAACACAAGCAGGCTGAGGATACACGTCCGCCGGCGGCTACCTGAGAAGATGTTCTTCAGGTTCTCCACGGCGGCGGCAAGCTGGCTGTGTCGCACGACCGCGTCCTTCACGTCCTTGAGGCTCTCGATGGTGTTGATGCTCTGCCTCCAGTCCTTGCTGACATCCGCCAGGGACTGCTGGATGGCCTTGACGTCATTCAGCGCGTTATGGAGCTGGCTCAGGCCCGTGCGCACGCCGTCCAACTGTGACTGGATTGCAGCCTAGGGAAGACACCCGGGGTGAGCAGAGCCAGGCTGGACCTGGAGGCTCATAGAAGAGAGGCGCTGTAGTAACAGAGAACAGTCAATAAACAAAACAGTAATGTCTGTAAGCTTTGTTGAGAAAACCTCCTAACACTCCTCATGCAGCCCTTGGCCTGAAAATGCTAGACTCCACTGTGGGAATGCCCTGGGTCCCATAGACCTCCTTAAATGGTCCCTTAGGACTCTGCACACCATCTCGCAGGCATCCTCAGCTTCCTAACAGGCCTGATCTAAATGGAGAAATAGTCAGGATTTGTCATTAACTTGAGTGGAGAGGGCTTTCCTGCCATTCAAGCCAGAACCAGACTCCGCCCCAGGATGGCTGGGCCCCAGACGCAGAACTGGTGCATCCGAGATTCAGACTCACTCTGAGGGCCCGTGGACGTGCCGCCCAGGGAGCCGCACAGTCAGTCAGAAGGGAGAGAGCATGAAGGAGCAGCAGCAGGTGGATGGCAATAGGAAGGGAAAGACAGGGCAGCACAGTGGAAGTCAGGAACACCTATCATCCATGAGTCATCAAGTAGCACTTAAAAATAACTAATGATTTCAACAGACCACACAACTGCTAGTTCATCCATGAATTTCTAGAAGAGATTAAAATTCTGAATAAAAATGTAGCAGGTCTAAACTATTTTTTAAATTGATACAAAACTGCTTCAAGTTAGTCCAACAGGTCTTTGGCTGCTTTGCTTTGCAAATCAATGACCCACATCCTGTATCGTCAAACCTGCCATTAACCTGGGCACCAATGTTTTCAACTAGACAGGCAACCTCACTATCATATCAGTGAGAGAATTAACCTTCCTCAAATGCACTCTCTTAAATTCTCAAGACTGTTGTGCAGCCAGTCAGCAGGCCATGGTCTTGACATTTTTATAACTATACCAGGCAAGCAGTGTTTTAATAAAACCCAATTTCTCCACATGAATTAAGTTGAAAGCCAATCCAAATCATAAAAGACGGACTTTCTTTCTTGCCTCACTTTCACACACACTAATAAACGCACAGAGCTCTCTTCCTTCCTGCCACGAGGCCAACAGAATGCCTGGTTCAGTCAGCATACTAAAGCGTGTGCTAGAAGGACCCAAACAAAATGTTCTCTGGACATACTCTGCGGAAGAGCGTTTACCAAAGAAGAAAAACCGTTACGCTGCTAGTGTTTTTTAAAAAGCTTAATGGACACTTCTGGATGCTTAAAGGGGTTGTTCCTTTGGTGTTTTCAACATCCCCCTGTCTAGTTTGTCAATCTACTAACCGGCAATATATTATTGGAAAAAAACGTGCTAAATCAAGGTAATGTTCAAGTCTGCCTTCTTCCACATCCTCATAACGTCCAATCAGGCAGTTATAACTTTGTTAACGGAACTTGAAACTCAAGATAAAAGGCCCTGTCCCCTGGGGAGCGCAGCAGGTGCTGATGGCCACTCTGACCCCCACCTTTAATCTGGCCTCCACAGAGGCCTTCTTCCGGGCCTCTCTTCTGCGATACTGCTCCACTTTGTCCAGCTGGTCCGGGCGCTGCAGCATTCCAGCAACCCTCTGAACTGCTGTCGCGACAGCCTCCCGATCAGTCTCCTTCATGGTTACAAAGCAGGGAGGATCTCTGCACCTGTCATACTAGAGGCATCCTGTGTCCACAGCTAGATGGGGAACGGGGAGGGGGGATGTGTTAGGAAGGTAGAAATGTTAGTGACAAAACTTACCCCCTCCACCAACAGTCAGCTGTCCACAGCAGAGCTATAAGGAGAGCATCTGAGATCATTAACCCAGTAAACCTGAAAGCAGAACTAGGATTATGAACTCCTGGATAAGAAACAAACTTTCAGAAGTCAATTTTACCTTAAAGTGGAGCAGGCGCAATTACAGGCAAAAAACATTAGCATATGGAGGAATCCAAATTACTCACATCAGACGTCAGTCTCCAGGGCACTTCTCTCCCCCAGACAGGTCCCCTTTCCCATTTCCAGAGCCTTCACACCCGCCCTGAACTCCCTTGAGGGGCGGCTGTGCAGGAAGCCCCGGTGAAGACGCGGAGACCCAGGGCCAGCATACACCTCGCCATCCCCGCGGAAGTTTCAGCACCCACCCTACGATTCGCCTCAAAAATCACTACCTGTAGAGTCTCAAATCCCACGTCTTACTATTTAACAGCCCTAGTGAACAGGTGAGCGGGCAAACGACGCTCTCCTCAGGATAACGCACTCCTGCCTTCGCGCCGGCTCTACCAAAATCCGAGCCGGAGAGCTCGGTGAGCGTCCGGCAAACGAGAGAGCGGACATCTTTAGTCAGCCGCCCGTTTCCATGCATGTTTTCCGTGCAGGGATCTCCAAGACGCTCCCCATTCCCTCCGCAAACGCTCTCAGAGCAACACCCAAGTCCCCGTAGACTCTGAGGGGCGGGACCCGAGTGCCTCTGGCGCCCTCACGGACCTGGGCTGGGGCGCCTTGTCTCCTCGCCCCCTTTCCGGGCCCTAGGTTGCGCCGGGTCCAGGGCGCCCGAGGCGGCCGCGGGTCTCCCGGCCGCCGCCCGCGCGCTCAGGTCCACACCCGCTCCCTCCTCCTGGCCTGGAGCGGCGTCGGCCCCTTCACGGAAGCGAGCCTCTAGATGCGACTCAGCTGACCCCGGGACCCACCCCCCCGGCCGCCCTCATCGCCTCCTGGCCGCGCCCGCACCTGCTGGAACCGGGGAAAGGGGCGGCGGGCGGGGACCGCGACCGCCACCCGGCCGCCACAGCTTGCCGCAGCCTCACCTAGCGGGTCACCACCGCCGCCTCCGCCACCTCCACAGCCTCCACCACCTCCACAGCCTCCACCGCCCGGAAGTGAGCGCTTGGCTGGCACTTCCGCTTCCTGCTTCGAGACTGGGAGGGGCGGGGCCTGGCGGCTCGGGCGCGGGGCGCGCGGGCTCAGTGACTGTGAGGGCTGGCTGCGCCATGGTGCGCGCAAGACCAGAGCGGGCAGAGCGGGGCTGCGGCGCGCGCACACCCCGCACACACGTAAACACACACACAGACACTACACACACATAGATAGACACATAAACACACAACAGACGCCCCACAGACACGTATCACATATAGACATGCCACACACATAAATGCAGACGCCACACCACATGCACACACCACACACGCTTGAGCACACAGACCCAGTCAGCATGTGTGCAAAGGCCTGGGCTCACAGAGGCAGGGGGCCAGGAAGGAGCTGTGTGAGCCCCTACCTGTGGCCATGCCAACCGGAACCTACAGTCAGCGGACAGCAGATCCCTCTCCAAGGGCCAGGACTTCAGCGCCTGACTGGCTCTGAGGACTGATCCCTCTGTTATTTCATCTGTCCCTAATAATTTGTGAAAATATAGCGCCATGCTGGGTCAGGAAGATCCCCTGGAGAAAGAAATGGCAACCCACTCCAGTATTCTTGCCTGGAGAATCCCCATCTGCAGAGGAGCCTGGCGGGCAACAGTCCACGGGGTTGCAAAGAGTCGGACCAGCTGCGTGACTGAACACTAGAGGAACAAAGAATGTAAACAGAAATTATAATCATGCTTGAAATTCTGACTGTACAGGCATTTTGAAACATCCTCAGTGCAAGAGTGGACCAGGGAAAACAAACAACAGAACCCCAAAAAGCAATGTCTCCCAGGTGCTGGGGTCTCTGGGTCAGGAGAGGATCCCAAGAAGACAGAGCTGGGAGCCTGTGCCTACCTGGGTTTGGTGCCCTCCTCAGTGGAGAAGCTCTCTTGGAAAGGCAGCACTCAGCAGAAGACACCAGGAGCGGTTATTGAAAGGCCCCAGCCCGGCGGACTAAAGAAGGGAGCAAGGTACGTCTCTGAAGCGTCCTGAGAGAGTGGAGATCTTGTTAAGCTGTAGCTTACACTTTGTTAAATACAAAGAGAAAGTGCAAGCAGCGCCATAGTAATACTAGGAAAAGAAAAGCTGACGGATCATTGGCAACTAAAACACAAAAGGAGGCGTGGAGACATGTTCAGATACGTTGATTATCAGGACGCAAGTTCAAAACAACTAGTTATTGTAAGAAAAACATGTAAAACATGAAGAAACAGGATGGTTAACTTTGGAGGAGGTTTGCGCACCCAGCTAGTCTGGACCCGAAAAAGCGGTTGTGGTGATGTTAATACCAGACAAATGGGCTTTATGTCAGAGGCACTGCCAGAGAGAGTTATTTTAAGATACAAACATATAAACCACCAGGAAAAAGATAGTTTGCTGTGCCAAGATTTTAAACTCTTGTGTCTATTTTAGTCCTTAAAGAAAAAGACAAGACATAGATTGAGAGAGAAACTTTAACTGACAAAGTGCAGCTATCCTGAATTTTAAAATAACGCCCATGGTTCAACTAAAAACAGCAAACAAGTGCAGGGCAGACAGCAGAGGGCCTTTCACCTCTCTGGGGAAGAAATCAAGATGAGGTACCTTGCGGCACCAGCATGGTCTTTGTGACGGCTGGGGGCCCTCGCCTCCCTACAGCCCGTCTGGCCTTCAGACCACCGCCCAGGGTCAGCTCCACTGCAAGCCCTCTGGAGGCCCCCTCACCCAGACCTGCCTGTGACCCGCCACCCCTGCCTGACTTCTTCCCCGCTCTCTCCTCACCCTCTCACTCCAGCTTCCTCCACACACAATCTGTATGGTTCCTGTCAAGTCTTGGCCCAAAGCCGCCTTGCCCACAAAACCACCACCTGGGTCACCAGGCCCCAGCTGACCCACCTGAGCAGCACCCAGCCCCTCCCCACATGTCACAGAACCTACACAGTCCTTTGGTCACCTGTCTATCCCCTGTCCCCTGGATATGTGCACAGGGACCTCGGCTTCAGCAACCTGATTTCTGCATCTTTTCTTCCCCAGTGTGTCCCCAGCACTGTCCCCACTGCTGCTGCTAAGTCGCTTCAGTCGTGTCCAACTCTGTGCGACACCATGGATGGCAGCCCACCAAGCTCTTCCGTCCACAGGATTCTCTAGGCAAGAATACTGGAGTGGGTTGCCCTTTCCTTCTCCACAGCGCTGTCCCAGGACCTGGCATCCAGCAGGGACTCAACAAGCAGCAGAGTGAAGGAAGGAGATGCACATGAAACAGCTGAGTGCCCCCTCACGCCTCAGAGACACCCAGCGACCTGGAAGCCGGCCTTCAGTAGACCCTGCTGCCACTCAGGTCTCAGACTCCCAGCCTCCGAAACTGTGAGAAAGAAATGCTTGTTGTCCATAAGCCACCCAGCCTCTGGCGTCTTCATTCTACAGCCTGGAATGGGCTGTGCGGAGGCTGTGCAGGGTCCCTTGGGTGCCGTGGGGGATGCCTGGGCAGCGCCTGGTGAGGGGAGTGCCGTCAGCACCTCGGGGGGCGTCCTCAGTCCCCCGGAAGCACAGAGGGAGAGGGGCAGCCACTGGGCAAGCGGAAGTCTGGAGACAACCCACACGTCCGCTGGCGGCAGGCTGGGTAGTGGGAGAGGCATGCGGTGGGGTGACGCCCGCCTCCAGGTCTCCCCGTGATGAGACTGAAGAACACAGGGAGAGGAGGCGGGTGTGGGGATGGCAGGCTGGGCCGCTGGCCCTCAGGGCTGGGGAGCGGCTGGCTGGGACCCAGCAGGCGGGGGCAGGCTGGCCTGGTCTCCCCAGGAGGGACACAGAGCCGTGGAGCAGGGCCGAGGTGATGGCCTGTAGGATGCAGGAAGGGGGCTGGGCCGGGCTGGACTGGCACCGGGGCAAATCCTAGTGCCGTACGGGGTGCTGGGCGCTTGTGCGGAGGTGCTCTGCGATCAAATGAAGGAAATGAAAACACGACGCCCTTGACCCTGGGGGGCAGGTCTCTGCCTGGGCCTGGATGACCTCCCTTGACCCTGGGTGGGGGGGGGGGTGGCCTCTGCCTGGGCCCAGATGACCTCCTGGCCCTTGCCACGCACTTGTCCCTGGGTCCTGAGCAGGGTGGGGCTGACCCTACAAGACATGTGACATTGGGCCAAGCATCTGCTCCTCACAGCACAGTTTGAGTCCAGGGTGTCCCCCAACCCTCATTGCTGGGCAGGAGGGTCTGGCAGGAAAGGGAGGGGGTCTCCTCCTGCGGCCCCAAGTCCACTCTTGCCCTTATAGCGGCCCCGAGTCTGGTGGCAAAGGACAGTCTTACAATGTAGTCTTAGCCTACACACACTTTAAAGGAAACAAAATATTTCATTTGGAGAATCAAGAAGATGTTTCCATTTACAGTAAACACATACAGCATATGAGTTATTTTACAATGATATCATAAATTTAATACAAACCACAGTATCAGAAATGTATTTGGAAGCTCTTTCTAAAGGCACTGAGGAAATATACAAAAGTACAAAAGTTGTATTGTAGTGTATCTGTTTTTAACAATTCAACAAGTCTGTCTAGATATTAAAAACTTTTTTCATCCAATAGAAACTACAAAAATATATAAGTTGTGTTTATCTCCTCCCTTCCATCCCATTCTTACATCATCTTTGATTTTAATATTTTTCAGCTATATAGGCAAAAGCTACCAGCAACAGAAAATACAGGCCTGAAATCAGTACTGTTACCTGACATTTTAAAGCAGGAATGGCCACATCTACAGAAGTGGCCACATCTGACATTCCACATTCCATCATCACCTTCCGCACACAGTTTCTCAGGGGGCAGGGCTGTAAAATGACAAAGTGCTGACTGAGGCAGGTTCTGTTCGTGCTGTCCCAGCACGTTAGGACCTGGGCCTCCAGCGTGACAGCGTCTCGAGCATGAAGCAAGCGCTGATGTCCAGGTGCTGAATTCTGCATCAACAAAGTGTGACTCGCCACACGCCTGCTGGGACCAACTTGGTGCACGTAGTCCAGGGGAGCAGGTGCATCTGAACGCTCAGGCACCACGGCCTTGAGGGCAGACTGCTGCACCTCCTCGAGCCACAGCTATCCTTCGCTGGGTTCCGGCTACAGTGTGCAAACATGCAATGACGCCTCTCCACTCCATCTTTCTGGTCCAGGGTTTCACACATGCAGACTGCTGGCTACTACGCCGAGACAGGAAGGGGTACCCCTGTGCGGAGGGTGCATTTAAGGACCCTCCCTTCACAGAGGGAGCTGCAGAGAGGCTGACAGTCACTTCTGAGAGATGGTACAGGGCTTCCGTGAGAAGCTGGGCACTTGGCATGAATAGAAAGGAAGGAGGCAGTTTCTGAAATTCCACCCCATGTCTTAGGGATGAAATCTACACCATGGGCTGGGCTCAGCATGAGAACCAAGCAGAGAGGGGTGCTGAGCCGGCAGCGGAGGGGGTGGGGGGTAGGAAGCAGGTGGTCCTGACAGGCGGCTGTGCTGCCATCACAACAGGGGAGGGGGAGACTCTGGCAAGGGTGGGGGGCAGCACGGCACCAACGTCACTTTCTGCAAGGGCCCCCCGGGGGGTGGGCAGGGAAGAGAAGGCTGCTGGGCAGGCCCTGGGGATCCCATGAGGCCATGAATTGACCACACCCGACCCGGGCTCTGACTGGTAACTTCTGTCACTCTGGGAAGAGACCTTCCACCCCACCACACCCCTGGGGAAGCCCTTCCAAGAAGAAGAGCTCCGAGAGGTACGGGCGCCCCCAGGCATGCCTCAGTCCGCCAGGCCCAGTCCTGCCGCCCCATCCTGAGTTGACAAGGTGAATGCAGAAAGCTTCACCAACTCAGGAGCTGAACGCTGACACGCCAAAGCCAACAGATGACAGGAAGACCCCTTGCTGAACACGGTGGGACTGCAAGTCCCCGCTGGGGCTCCTGCAGGTCCTGAGACTCAGGGCAGGGGGTGACCGAGGACAGATGCTCGCGCCGCAAGGAGGAGGGGCCTACAACCCGCTTCCTCCTGCCCCGTGGTGGCTCTGGAGTCACATCCTGCAGGGACTGCACCTGTGGGGTCTGCACCTGTGGGGTGGGGTCTCCCGGAAGGTGTGGTGAACTTTGCCCTTAGCCATGAGCTATCCGTGGTGACTGCGGGTGGCCTTTGCTTTCTGATTTCTTCTTTTGCACCTAAATTTCCTACGTTCAGAATGGGTTCCCTTCAAAATTTTTTTCTTTTTTCTGGCCACATCCTGCGGCATGTGGAATCTTAGTTCCCTGACCAGGGATCGAACCCACACCCCCTGCAGGCATTTAACCGCAGGACCATGGGGGAAGTCCACACGATTTCTTCCTTTTTATAAAATGCTGCCTGTCTGTCTCGTCTCGACTGATTCCTTCTGGCATGATGATCAGAGCCATCTGAAGACCTGCAGTCAGCAAGACAGCCTGACACCTGGATCAACTCCTTCCTTGCCCTCGTGCTGTGCTTCTGGACTCCAATCCAGACCCTGTGCATTCCAGGCTACGTGATGCAACGGGGGCAGATGAGCACGGACCCCTTTCGAAGGCCGCTGAAACACCAGAGAGACTGCAGAAGAACCACACAAGATCTGGCCAATCCTCCCTCCGGGCCGGCCTCGGCCTAGGCCAGTGTTTCGAGCACACACTGCCTGTTAGAGTGGAGGGCGGCCCGGTGCCATCAGCCTCTTCTGGCTGAACTTCTAGATTCCTCCCAGGCACGAGCACGTGGCCACCTGCCATTCAGTGAGCATTACTCCCAATTAGCTGTCTTGGCAGTGGGCCGCCAGGGTGCGGCTGTTCCCCGAGGTCTGCTCCCTTCGAGGCGCCGGGGAGACGACCTGGGGCGGGGGTGGGGAGCTGTGCTCCTCAGAGGAGAACCCTGCCACCCTTGAGCAGACTGATGACCACCCTGCACTTAAGACCTTCAGTGAACTTGCTATTGCACGTGCTTCCCTCGGGGAAGGCTCGGGCCGGAGCGCTGTCCGCGGGGCCCGGCTGGCTCCAGGACCAGCAGCTCTAGGGCAGGAAGGCGCACTGCGCGTCCCTGGGGGGCATCCCCACGGCTGGGGCACTCTTGCAGAATAGCCCAGGAGGCCCGCCCTGGCCGTGAGCCGCCCACAAGGGAGAGTCCAGGGGCTCGAGCTTGACTGTGGGAGCCGGCCCGGGAGCCCGGCAGTTGCAGCCCAGGTTGGGGGGCTGGTGGCCCTGTACACAGAGGCAGGGCGGGGGCTCTAGACAGGCACAGGAGGCGGGGTGCAGCGGGGCCAGCCCCCTGCTGGGTCTGGGGGGGGCGCCCAGCAGGCCAGGCCTGGGGGGTGCACTGTACAGGGGGTGCCTGGCGCCCGGCTCCATCTTCAGGTGCATCCTAGTCGGGAAGGTGACCAGCTGTCTCTTGGCCAGGTCGCCAGCCCCCAGCCACACCTGGGTCGGGGACACGCAGTAGCCGTCTGCCGCGTCCTCGGACCCCGAGTCACTCTCCATCTTGATGGGCACGTCGAGTGACAATGTGGAGTGACTTGGGGCTCCCGGGGGCATCAGAAGGCCTCGCAGCTTGTCCTCAGCTGGGTAGCCGCCCACCGGGAGACGCTGGACTGCCAGCCGAGGGACCCTGTTGTCCAAGACCCCGTGGGGGAAGGGGCCAGGGGTGGGGGGCGGCACTGGACCCTGGTGTCCGTCACGAAGGGCTCTGCTGGTCCGGCCGGCACAGGCCCCGGGGGGCAGCCTGGGTGGGTGAGAGCCGGGCGAGCTCCGAAGGGTGTGCACAGCACCCTGCATGCCCGGGTAGGGCAGGCAGGCGCCGCGGGCTGGGGCGGCAGGGAACGGGTTGGCCTTGCCCGGCTCCAGCTTCAGCTTGGCACTGCCACCGTCCTGACCGTGCCTCCCGGCTGGCCAGTCCAAATGCTTCACAGGGCCCGGGGGCTCCAGGCAGCAGCTGCATGGGGGCGCGTCCCGCGGGACCCCCCCGAGCTCCTCTCCTTCCCCGGCCCTGCGGGAAGGGACGCCCGTCAGACAGGACAGGGCGCGGGGGCGACCCTGCATTGGGCAGGTGCCGGCTGCAGCCTCAGGACCCCGGGCCAGCCCCCTCCCTCCCCGAAGGGCCCCTCCACAGTCCCCCAGCACCCGGGGGGTGGGGCAGGGGGGCTGGGTTGGGAGCGAGGGGAGAGGGCTTCTGAGCGAAGGTGAGGACAGAGGCTGGGGAGTCGGTGTCCCCCGCCAGTCCTCACGCAGTGAGGACAACCTCCAGGGCGAGGAGCGGCTGTGGGTGCCCTCCGTGTGTCCCCCGTCCCACCCAGGGAGGCTCAGCTGCCGAGGGCGAGGGCCGCTGATGCTGTGACTCTGTCACTTACCCTGCGGCGCCCTCGGGGTCAAGGACCAGGTCAGGGCCGCCCCGGAGGCACAGGCAGGGGCCCCGGGCTGTGACCCGGCCCCAGCGGCAGGCGTCCTCTGGCGTCCTGAACAAGGAGAGGCCGCTTTCTCCATTGCTTCTCCCTGTCAGCATTTGGAAAAGCGAGGCTGAGCAGTGTCTGGAGCGGGTGGACACTCATCCTCCGCACAGGTGACAAAGTGCTCGTGAGACCGGCTCCGCCCACCCACCCCCAGCTGCAGACAGCATCGAGCCCCCACCCCACCTCCAGGGATACGGTCGTTTCACCTGTTTGAAAAGGTGGTAGAGACAACTGTGATGAGTACCTGCTAAGTAATTGGGTTTTCCATGCAATTCTGATTCGCAGAGACTTGAGGCAGCTTTTGCTCTGCAAAGGACAGAAAAGCGCAAGGCAACAAGTAGATTAAATGTGTGTCGAGGGCAGAAATTACACACGACGGGTGTTGCTGCCACCCAGGAGCAGAAGATATGGTAACTCCCAGTGTGAAAGTCTGCAGAGATTGGATAATCTTCTCTCAGTTACAGACTTGCTGGAAATTCCAATTCACCTCACTTTTCAGGCCAGTGAAGCACTAATGAATTTCCTTCAGAAAACAGACATACACTGCTGCCAGAATGGGTTTCGGCGTGTTTGCTCTCTTCTGGATGGTCAGGATGAAGACGCAGATCCCTGTGACCTGCGGTAGTTACTTGCAGTAGTTTACAAAGTCACTGTGAGCACTAAGTTAGTGCCACTGAACCACTGCCCACACACACACACACACACACACACACACACACCTGTGTCTCATAGAACTTATAGTCAGAGATCCTAAGGCAACTTGCAACTTATCCCACAGATCATATTTTCTTTATATGTCAAAAGAAAAAGACGAGGCTCTAAAGTGTTAAGCAACTTGCCTGAAGCTGCCCCGACAGCAGGAGTGGGATTCAAACCCTGGCCAGTGGGTCCCACAGCCAGAGCTTCCTGCCCCGCAGTGGCCCTGACTCTCCATCTCATGGGCATCTCTGCAGGAGCTGAGACAGAGACAGAGGAAGAGACAGAGACATGGGAGAGACAGAGATGGAGGCCGAGACAGAGGAGGAGACAGAGACAGAGCAGGGACAGGACAGAGGTGGAGAGCATGCAGCTCACACACAGGACCCGTGAGCATTCAGGAGCGAGGCTGTGTCACAAAGGCCCCTTCAGGAAGAATTGCAAAGAACCTGAACTGGGTCCAGCGAGCACGATGCTCCATCCAGAGCCAGCCTCCTGGGCCTCAGACTCCCCAGGTTCGCGCCTCACGGCCTCTGAGCTCAGAGGGGAACGGACGGGAGGAGGTGCTGCAGCAAGGAGTTGAGTTCAGGGCAGAATTGGGCTCCAGAAAACCCAGAAGGCAACAGAACCTTCTTTCCCAAAACGTTCAAGGGCTCTTCCTCTCTTCCAGTTTTTTTCTTTATTTTTTAAAATTTTTGTTTTTTAAATTTTTACAATTTTGGCTTCTGCCACACAACAACGTGAATTGGCCATAATTATATATATATCCCCTCCATTTCCCCCAGCCAAACCTAGAGCTTGTTATTCAGTGAAGTGAGTCAGACCAAGGAAAATAAATATATATTAACGCATATATGGGAAATCTAGTAAAATGGTACTGATGACCCTATCTGCAGGGAAGGCCTGGAGATGCAGATGCAGAGAATGGACTTGTGGACACAGTGGGGGAGACCAACGGAGAAGACCGCGTCCACATACATGCACCATCCAGTGTCAAATGGAGAGCGGACGAGAAGTTGCTCTGTTGACACAGGGCGCAGAGCCTGGCACTCTGTGACAATCTCCCTGAGTTTTAATGCTGTTTACAACGTATTTCTAGTATTTGCTGCACAGTCCCCTTCTGTACAGTGTCCTAGCCTCACCGTGAAGACCCTTGCCAGCCCTCCAAGGGACATCCAGATGTCCACGCCGCCCAGGCAGCAGCAGGTGGTCCGGGAGTCCACACCCACCGCGAAGGCTTCCCCATCTGCGCTTCCCCGTGTGGCCGCCAGGGGACAGCACTCCTCCTGGAGAAGCGATCAGTCAGTTCAGTTCAGTCACTCAGTCATGTCTGACTTTTTGCGACTCAATGAACTGCATCATGCCAGGCCTCCCTGTCCATCACCAACTCCTGGAGCTTACTCAAACTTATGTCCATTGAGTCGGTGATGCCATCCAACCATCCTCTGTCGTCCCCTTCTCCTCCTGCCTTCAATCTTTACCAGCATCAGGGTCTTTTCAAATGAGTCATCTCTTCACATCAGGTGGCCAAAGTATTGGAGTTTCAGCTTCAACATCAGTCCTTCCAATGAACACTCAGGACTGATTTCCTTTAGGATGGACTGGTTTGAACTCCTTGCTGTCCAAGAGACTCTCAAGCGTCTTCTCCAACACCACAGTTCAAAAGCATCAATTCTTTGGCACTCAGCTTTCTTCATAGTCCAACTCTCACATCCATATATGACTACTGGAAAAACCATAACTTTGACTAGCAGATCTTTGTCAGCAAAGTAATGTCTCTGCTTTTTAATATGCTGTCTAGGTTGGCCATAGCTTTTCTTCCAAAAAGCAAGCATCTTTTAATTTCACGGCTGCAGTCACCATCTGCAGTGATTTTGGAGTCCAAAAAAAATAAAGTTTCTCACTGTTTCACTTCCCTGATAACTCAGTTGGTAAAGAATCTGCCTGCAATACAGGAGACCCTGGTTTGATTCCTGCATCAGGCAGATCCACTGGAGGAGGGACAGGCTACCCACTCTAGTATTCTTGGGCTTCCGTTATGGCTCAGCTGGCAAAGAATCCACTTGCAAAGTGGAAGATCTGGGTTTGATCCCTGGATTGGGAAGATCCCCTGGAAAAGGGAAAGGCTACCCACTCCAGTACTCTGGCCTGGAGAATTCCATGGACTATATAGTCCATGCGGTCACAGAGAGTTGGACACAACTGAGCAACCACTTACTTTCACTGTTTCCATTGTTTCCCCATCTATTTGCCACGGAGTGATGGGACCAGATGCCGTGATCTTAGTTTTCTGAATGTTGAGCTTTAAGCCAGCTTTTTCACTCTACTTTTTCACTTTCATCAAGAGGCTCTTTACTTCTTCTTTGCTTTCTGCCATAAGGGTGGTGTCATCTGCATATCTGAGGTTATTGATATTTCTCCTGGTAATCTCATTCCAGCTTGTGCTTCATCCAGCCTGGCATTTCACATGATGTACTCTGAATATATGTTAAGTAAGCAGGGTGACAATATAGAGCCTTGACGTACTCCTTTCCTGATTTGGAACCAGTCTGTTGTTCCATATCTGGTTCTAACCTGTTGCTTCTTGACCTGCACACAGATTTCTCAAAAGACAGGTCAGGTGGTCTGGTATTCCCAACTATTGAAAAATTTTCCACAGTTTGTTGTGATCCACACGGTCAAAGGCTTTAGCATACTCAATAAAACAGAAGTAGATGTTTTTTGCTGGGACTTTCTTGCTTTTTCGATGATCCAACAGATATTGGCAATTTGATTTCTGGTTCCTCTGCTTTTTTTATATCCAGCTTGAACATCTGGAAGTTCTCGGTTCACATACTGTTGAAGCCTGGCTTGGAGGATTTTGAGCATTACTTTGCTATGGAGAAGTGATAGAGGGAGGATTTTCCTTCCATCTGATCACAGGGCTGGGAATTTGAAAGTGCAGCGTGTGGGCTCAGTCACCGTCGCTAGCCCAGAGAATGTGAACACACGGAGGACTCTGAGAGACAGAGGCAGGCGGAGAATGCCGGGTCTGGGGTGTGGGCAGGGCCATCCAGCCGGCCAGCGCCCGGGGCTCCCTGCCCACAAGACACGCCCAGGTGTGTTGGGGGGTGCAACCTCTGTGCTTTGTCGCGCCTCATGTTTTGGTCGCTTCATCAGTTATTTCTACAGTTTTTTCCCATGAGTATCCTGTTTTACCTCCCTCTTATTTTACATTTTCTACCTTTAAAAAAAAAGCATACATATTTAATTTTTAAATGCTCCAGAAAACTGCTGCCTTAGCATGCGGGCCCGTGGGACCTGGAAGCTGTGATGAGGTGCCTATGCCTGAAGGCAGCAGTCCCCCGCCCCCACCATGAACCCCAGGCAGCAATGGGAGGTTTCCTGGTCCTGTGAACTGGAGCTGAGGTCCAAGGGGGAACCTGAGTGCTGAGGAGTGACAGAGAAGTGGGCTGGGGTCTTGCGTCTCCTGATATTCTGTCCCTGGGCAGGGCACAGCGGAGGGTACTGAGGAAGAAGACGGACAGACCTCCGACACGTCCCCCTCCCCAGGGCCTCCTCACATAGCAGGAAACAGTTTACAGGCACACAGCATCTTAACCTGTCCCAGAACCTGACCCACACAACACAGATCTAACCGTTCCAGAGACTGTAGTTGGGCATGTCCTAGAAAACTTAACTTTCTAAAAGTGAAAGTGTTAGTTGTTCAGTCATGTCCAACTCTTTGCAACCTGATGGACTGTAGCCCGCCAGGCTCCTCTGTCCATGGGATTCTCCAGGCAAGAATACTGGAGTGGGTAGCCGTGCCCTCCTCCAGGGCATCTTCCTGACCCAGGGATCGAGCCCAGGTCTCCTGCATTGCAGACAGATTCTTCACCCTCTGAGCTGGAAGGCCAGGACACCTGTGGAGTCCTTGTCCCCAGCATGTGCCCCTGTTAGCCTGGAGTCGATGGAGGGGACAAACGGAGGCTACAGCCTCGCCCCTATCCCTGTGGGGATCGGGGCCCCGGCACTGCCTCCGAGGCTCTGAGTGGGGGGCTGGGGAATGACGAGAGGCAGGTAGAAGTGTTTGGTGCCATGGTTGACAAATACTAGTGACAGGCTTTCTTTTCTCTAATAGCTGCTTCTCACATGATGTAGCAGCTTTGTTTTTAAATCATACTCCCTGCTGGAAATGAAGTGAGAACAGACAGAAAATGCATGTGTGCAGACACTGCGTGTGACCCAGCAGTGACGAGGACGGGTTTGGCTGCTGGGGCCTCTACTCACTTTGCGTCGGTCGAGGCCGGGACGTCCGCCCTGTGCTTCGCCCTCAGGTACACGGTCTTCATCCTCACCTCCACGCCAGGGGGCAGGGCCAGGGGGGCCGCCACGCAGAACAGGGCCAGCCGTGGGGGCAGGGCCGCGCCCGAGGGCGCCCGCCTGTTCTGTCCGAAGAGGAACTTCAGCCGCCCTTGAAACTGCATCGTCTGGTGTTTCAAAGACAGAAACAAAGGCTCGGTCACAGGGTAAATTAGCCGCTAACTGGTCAATGGCCAAAGGCCTCGGAACTCACATTCCCAAGGACGGAAACCAACACGTCTTCCATGCCAGCCCCTGGGGACAGGCGCTCCCCACTGCCTTCCAATCATTTGGGTTTCCCTGTAACTTTCTCTAAACTTCCAGCGTGTTCTCATGTGTACACTCGTGGGCGTGTGAGTCCTCCTTCAGGTGCCTGAATATCCCTGGATCAGGCCGGAGTCACCAGGAAGGCCCCTGGGAGGACGTGCTAGAGCCAACCATCTCTGAGGACTGGCCCCATAACCCTCCATTCCCAAAATGCCATCCACTCATGGCAATAAATCTCAGGGACGACTTGATTTTCCTGATCTAGAGCATATGAGTTCAGTTAGTCAGCTAAGTCACTCAGTCGTATCCGACTCTATGATTCCATGGACTGCAGCACACCAGGCTTCCCTGTCCACTATCTCCTGGAGTTTGCTCAAACTCCTGTCCATCGAGTCAGTGATGCCATCCAACCATCTCATCCTCTGTTACCCCTTCTCCTCCTGCCCTCAATCTTTCCCAGCATCAGGGTCTTTTCCAAGGAGTCGGTTCTTCACATCAGGTGGTCAAAGTATTGGAGTTTCAGCTTCAGCATCAGTCCTTCCAATGAATATTCAGGGTTGATTTTCTTTAGGATAGACTGGTTGGATCTCCTTGCAGTCCAAGGGACTCTCAAGAGTCTTCTCCAACACCCCAATTCAAAAGCATCAATTCTTTGGTGCTCAGCTTTCTTTATAGTCCAACTCTCACATCCATACATGACCACTGGAAAACCCACAGCCTTGACTAGACAGACCTTTGTTGGCAAAGTAATGTCTCTGCTTTTTAATATGCTGTCTAGGTTGGTCATAACTTTCCTTCCAAGGAGTAAGCGTCTTTTAATTTCATGGCTGCAATCACCATCTGCAGTGATTTTGGAGCCCAAAAAAATAAAGTCTGACACTGTTTCCACTGTTTCCCCATCTATTTCCCATGAAGTGATGGGACCAGATGCCATGATCTTAGTTTTCTGAATGTTGAGCTTTAAGCCAACTTTTTCACTCTCCTCTTTCACTTTCATCAAGAGGCTCTTTAGTTCTTCTTCACTTTCTGCCATAAGGGTGGTGTCATCTGCATATCTGAGGTTATTGATATTTCTCCCGGCAATCTTGATTCCAGCTTGTGCTTCTTCCAGCCCAGCGTTTCTCATGATGTACTCTGCATATAAGTTAAATAAGCAGGGTGACAATATACAGCCTTGACATACTCCTTTTCCTATTTGGAACCAGTCTGTTGTTCCATGTCCAGTTCTAACTGTTGCTTCCTGACCTGCATACAGGTTTCTCAAGAGGCAGGTCAGGTGGTCTGGTATTCCCATCTCTTTCAGAATTTTCCACAGTTTATTGTGATCCACACAGTCAAAGGCTTTGGCATAGTCAATAAAGCAGAAATAGATGTTTTTCTGGAACTCTCTTGCTTTTTCGATGATCCAGCGGATGTTGGCAATTTGATCTCTGGTTCCTCTGCCTTTTCTAAAACCAGCTTGAACATCTGGAAGTTCACGGTTCACGTATTGCTGAAGCCTGGCTTGGAGAATTTTGAGCATTACTTTACTAGCGTGTGAGATGAGTGCAATTGTGCGGTAGTTTGAGCATTCTTTGGGATTGCCTTTCTTTGGGATTGGAATGAAAACTGACCTTTTCCAGTCCTGTGGCCACTGCTGAGTTTTCCAAATTTGTTGGCATATTGAGTGCAGCACTTTCACAGCATCATCTTTTAGGATTTGAAATAGCTCAACTGGAATTCCATCACCTCCATGAGCTTTGTTTGTAGTGATACTTCTTAAGGCCCACTTGACTTCACATTCCAGGATGTCTGGCTCTAGGTGAGTGATCACACCATTGTGGTTATCTTGGCCATGAAGTTCTTTTTTGTATAGTTCTTCTGTGTATTCTTACCACCTCTTCTTAATATCTTCTGCTTCTGTTAGGTCCATATCATTTCTGTCCTTTATTGTGCCCATCTTTGCATGAAGTGTTCCCTTGGTATCTCTGATTTTCTTGAAGAGATCTCTAGTCTTTCCCATTTTATTGTTTTCTTCTATTTCTTTACACTGAACACTGAGGAAGGCTTTCTTATCTCTCCTTGCTATTCTTTGGAACTCTGCATTCAGATGGGTATATATTTCATTTTCTCCTTTGTGTTTTGCTTCTCTTTTTTTCTCAGCTATTTGTAAGGCCTCCTCAGATAACCATTTTGCCTTTTTGCATTTCTTTTTTTGGGGATGGTCTTGATCACTGCTTCCTGTACAATGTCATGAACCTACGCCCATAGTTCTTCAGGCACTCTGCCTATCAGAGCTAATCCCTGTAATCTATTTGTCACTTCCAATGTATAATCATAAGGGATTTGATTTAAGTCATACCTGAATGGTCTAGTGGTTTCCCTACTTTCTTCAATTTAAGCCTGAATTTGGCAAGAAGGAATTCATGATCTAAGCCACAGTCAGCTCCCGGTCTTGTTTTTGTTGACTGTATAGAGCTTCTCCATCTTTGGCTGCAAAGAATATAATCAATCTGATTTCGGTATTGACCATCTGGTGATGTCCATGTGTAGAGTCATTTCTTGTGTTGTTGGAAGGAGATGTTTGCTATGACCAGTGCATTCTCTTAGCAAAACTCTGTTAGCCTTTGTCCTGCTTCATTTTATACTCCAAGGCTAAACTTGCCTATTACTCCAGGTATCTCTTGACTTTCTATTTTTGCATTCCAGTCCCCTATGATGAAAAGGACGTCTTTTTTTGGTGTTAGTTCTAGAGGGCCTTGTAGGTCATCATAGAACCATTCAACTTTAGCTTTTCCAGCATTAGTGGTTGGGGCATAGACTTGGATGAATGTGAGAATACGGTGTGAGTTAAAAAGCCAGACGGTAACTCTGGAGTGTGTGATAAAGAAAATGAAAGCTCTCTCTCTGATGGAATGTTGATCTATAACTGAGTAAGTTCACATGACTCCAGGGTGTCCTGCCCTGAGTGGGCGAATAGTGCTGCACACTCTCCTTGCCACTTGTCAGTCAGTGTCTCCCTCCATCCCTCCATCTGTCCCTCCCTCCATCCACCCATCCGTCTTTCCATCTCCCCATCTGTGCATGAATTTATGGGGTGCACAAATGCCTGAAAGCCTCTAGGTGTGCTGGCCACGAGCTTGGTGTGGCACAGGCCCGGCCATGCTGGGCACCTTACCTCCAGTCCTGGGGGAAAAGCCCTGGTCTGCGGCACCAGGCAGTGTCTTTGGTGTGAACATTCCCACCGTGGTTGACTTTGAGCTAAAAACCCAACATCAACTGCCTGTCCTGAGGTTTCAGCAAGGGCGCTCGGGGGCAGCCCCACCCGCTGGGTGTGAGCAGGCTGAATGCAGGCAAGGGGGGCTGGGGTGAGCCCGGGACCCGAGCTGTCCACCCCCCGTGCTCAGGGCCTCCGTCCCCACTGCGGAGCCCTTCCCTGCACGTGCAGCGACCAGCCTTGTGGTAAAACGCCGAGACCCTCCACACCGAGTCCTTCTGCTTGTTTCCTCTCTGTGCTTCAGGCAGGGCTTCACTTCAACCTAGGTTTCAACCTCTGCCTCAGTGTTAGGTAAAATCTATCTGCATCCATGTGGAGCAAAAACCATCTTAGTTTTCCACAAAACTGAAAACCAAGTATGATCAAAACAAAAGGCCTTCTGGACAACCAACCAATCGCCTGAATAAAGGATGAGCAGGGGTGCGGGGTGTCGCCCCTGCAGATGCCCCACTTCATTCTCATTAACCTCCCGTGACTCAGCCCTGCCCCATCAAGGCCAGGCTCCCTCGAGGCACCCACACACCAGCCCTTGCTTTGCCAACTGCTCCCATGGACCTTGGAGCCCCGTGCCAGGCCCAGGCCTGGACTTACACAGCACCGGCCCTGCACCCACTCACTCACCAGGAGGCCCAGGTGCCGTCCCCACCCTCTCTCTCACCAGGAAGCCCAAGGTGCCATTCCCACCCTCTCTCTCACCAGGAGGCCCAGGTGCCATCCTGTACCCTCTCTTTCACCAGGAGCCCCCAGGTGCCATCCTGCACCCTCTCTCTCACCAGGAGCCCCCAGGTGCTGTCCCCACCCTCTCTCTCACCAGGAAGCCCGAGGTGCCATCCCCACCCTCTCTCTCACCAGGAGCCCCCAGGTGCCATCCTGCACCCTCTCTCTCACCAGGAGCCCCCAGGTGCCATCCCCACCCTCTTTCTCACCAGGAAGCCTGAGGTGCCATCCCCACCCTCTCTCTCACCAGGAGCCCCCAGGTGCCATCCTGCACCCTCTCTCTCACCAGGAGGCCCAGGTACCATCCTGCACCCTCTCTTTCACCAGGAGGCCCCAGGTGCCATCCTGCACCCTCTCTCTCACCAGGAGCCCCCAGGTGCCATCCCCACCCTCTTTCTCACCAGGAAGCCTGAGGTGCCATCCCCACCCTCTCTCTCACCAGGAGCCCCCAGGTGCCATCCTGCACCCTCTCTCTCACCAGGAGGCCCAGGTACCATCCTGCACCCTCTCTTTCACCAGGAGGCCCCAGGTGCCATCCTGCACCCTCTCTCTCACCAGGAGCCCCCAGGTGCCATCCCACCCTCTCACTCACCAGGAAGCCCGAGGTGCTGTCCAGCAGGCAGCGCACGCGGCAGATGAAGCAGCGCGTCAGGAAGGCCGAGTACTCGGTGGGCAGGTCCACGCCCCCCTCCTGGGCCCGGAGCAGCCTCCCCAGGATGGCATCCTCTCCTGGGCACAGACAGGGGGGACCAGGGAGAAAGCAGAAACACACCCTGGTCAGCAAGTTCGTGGCGCCAACAGCAGCTGTCAGCACGTAACGCACAGGCCTGCTCCAAACCGGCCTCCCTCCCTGAGCACACCCCCACACCCCTCGTGAGTGTCCATCAGCTCAGGCTTTTGTTCTGAGCTTGTAAAGCTGGTCAGCACCTGGGGCTGTGTTTTCTCTACCTGTAGAAGGTGACCCACGCTGCCGTGTGAAGGCGTGCTGGAAACTCCTGGAACTCCTGACCACCATGGGGAACGTGTGGTAGACCCAGGACCCCATCTCCCTGCACCGCACCCCAGGGGAGGTCACTCGCTCTGACCCCCGAGCTCTCATCTGCTCTGCCATCTCAGGGACCTGGGCGCCTGCCTGGTATGTTCACTGGGCAGGGGCTGCAGATCTGGGACACCTTGGGGGTCCTGCCCACAGTGGGCAACGTCCCCGAACAGACAGCAACATTTGGGAGACTGTTTCAGGTAAATCTCAGGTGGGTGGAGAGAATTTCCTAGAAGATGTCTGAGGAGGAGTTTGCAAAACTAGAGGCAGGGTCCCTGGCTTCTGGGCCTCATACCCTACAGGGCACAGGGACGTGGCAGGAGACACAGGTGCCCTGGGAGCCAGAGAGCCCCCTGGGGAAGCCGCCTGAGAAGGGTGGGGGTGCAGGAGGAGGTCTCCGAGGAGGAAGGGGCGTTGACGCCACTTCAACAGGAGGAGGAGGAAAGGGGCAACTGCTGCGGAGGCATCCACGTGTTTCAGGAACCTCCGAGTCTGAGTCAGACCAGGGCCCCCAGGACTCACCTGTCTCCGAAAGCAGGGGCTGCCCACACCCTGCCTGGGGAGGGTCCATGGCCCAGTGCAGCTGCCGGCAGAAGTCCTGGCGGTCATCCACATGGATGTAGTCATAAATATTCTGGTGCATCACATCCGTCTGCAACATGAGACAGTCATTTTAGTCTTACCCCGAGGGAATGTCTGCACTGTATTCCAGGGTTAATGACCACAAACACGTCTCATCCATCTGTCAAAGGCAAGTCACACCCATGAAGAGAAAGTCCCTCCCCACAGGAGGCAACCAACACTGCCTGGACACCAGGCATCCAGCCCACAAAGTGCCCCCCAGGCCAGGCAGTGCCTCTGGGGGCAGATCAGGGGCTCAGAGACCAAACTTCCTTTGGGATCAAGCTGTTCAAAGCTGACTCCAACCTCATCGAGCTGTGCACTTATGTCTGGTCGCCTTCTAGTCTCTTTGTTACACTTGGATCACAAAGTTAATTAGGGAAGCACACCTTTACGGTGAGACGGGGCCAGGCTGGCATTTCCAGGCCTGACCGCTGCCCTGGCAGGATGCTGCAGGGACCCTCCGACCCACAACCCTCTCTCTGGTCCTGGGTACCCCCACCTGCTTGCGATCTAAGCAGAGAGGCCACCCCACCCTCCCAGGTCCACACTGGGAACCTGCAGTCCGGGGCACCGAGGCCCTGCCTTGGGCTATTAAGGCAGACCTCAGCGGACTCGATTGTTGGTATTGCCAGAGAAAACATCCAGAGTGTCGACAAACGACGAGGCTGGTGCACGTCTTCCCACCTGAACCGCATGGCATCACCCATTACCCACCTGGGGCCCCAGTCCCACAGAAGCCCCTTCGCCCCTTCAGCTGGCCCATTGCTGAGCTTCCGTTGTTTCTCAACTGGAAAAACTAGACAGAGAAGTTCCTGAAGGGTCAGGGCTTCACAGACGAGGCACTTCTCAGGGGTGACAGGCAGCCTCACTCAGAGTGGATGGGGGGCCTCCAGGTGAGGGGGAGCCTCCAGGTGAAGGGGGCCTCCAGGTGAGGGGGAGCCTCCAGGTGGGGGTGGGCTCCAGGTGAGGGGGAGCCTCCAGGTGAGGGAGAACCTCAAGGTGAGGGGGGAGCCTCCAGGTGAGGGGGAGTCTCAAGGTGAGGAGAGCCTCCAGGTGAGGGGGAGCCTCCAGGTGAAGGGGGCCTCCAGGTGAGGGAGAGCCTCCAGGTGAAGGGAGCCTCCAGGTGAGGGGGAGCCTCCAGGTGAGGGGGGCCTCCAGGTGAGGGGGAGCCTCCAGGTGAAGGGGGCCTCCAGGTGAGGAGGAGCCTCCAGGTGGGGGTGGGCTCCAGGTGAGGGGGGTCTCCAAGTGAGGGGGGAACTGCCAGGTGAGGGGCAAGCCTCCAGGTGAGGGGGAGCCTCCAGGTGGGGGTGGGCTCCAGGTGAGGGAGGGCCTCAAAGTGAGGACAGCCTCCAGGTGAGGGGGGAGCTGCCAAGTGAGGGGGAGCCTCCAGGTGAGAGAAGCCTCCAGGTGAGGTGAGCCTCCAGGTGAGGGGGGCCTCCAGGTGAGGGGGGAGCCTCCAGGTGAGGGAGAACCTCAATGTGAGGGGGGAGCCTCCAGGTGAGGGGGAGTCTCAAGGTGAGGAGAGCCTCCAGGTGAGGGGGGCCTCAAGGTGAGGAGAGCCTTCAGGTAAGGGGGGCCTCAAGGTGAGGAGAGCCTCCATGTGAGGGGGCCTCAAGGTGAGGAGAGCCTCCAGGTGAGGGGGGAGCTGCCAAGTGAGGAGGAGCCTCCAGGTGAGAGGAGCCTCCAGGTGAGGAGAGCATCCAGGTGAAGGGGGCCTCCAGGTGAGGGGGGACCTGCCAGGTGAGGTGGGAGCTGCCAAGTAAGGGGGGCCTCTAGGTGCATGAGAATCAGAAGGTGCTGCAGGCGTCAGCAGGAGGGAAGGTCTGGTGTGTCCCCGTCCACCATGAGTGGTCCTCATTCAGGCCAGAGCCTGGACAACACTGACCAAGGACTACAACACTTCTGACCTCAGCGTCTGCTTCTTTCTGTGAAAACTGTGTCTGGGACTGTGGGAGAGAATGTGCGTACATGATTAGAGTTTAGCCTTCGAGTTATAATCACACTCATTTTCTACCTTCCCGCGGTTACCTGTTTGACATTCAAGGACCACAGTTATAGGAAGAGCCCGAGGAGAGATGGTGCCCGCCTGGAGGCCCCCCTCACCTGGAGGCCCCCCTCACCTGGAGGCCCCCCTTCACCTGGAGGCCCCCCTCACCTGGAGGCTCCCTCTCACCTGGAGGCTCTAGCGTCACAAGGGCATGTCCCATAATGAAGCTTTCCTCATGCAATTTTGTGATGCAGGCCTAACACAGAGTGTGAAACGTGCCCACGTCATAGTCACGCAGCTTCCCCACCCAGTCAGGACTCAGAACCCTTCCCCCCACCCTCCACGGAGGCGACCCGGGCACAGCCCCCGCACCCCGGGCTGGTTCTGTTCTCAGGTGGAGCCCCGTGTCCTCTGTGTCCCCCCTCGGTGGTGACGCGGCCCCTGGCGCCTGAAGCAGTGGTCCAGCCCCTCCGTGGTGTGGCTTTCTGCCGTGAGTTACACTGCCGCTGGGGCGTCCCTCCCTGCGTCCGGGCCTCTCACCGGCGCGGCTGCGGTGTCTTCCAGGGTGGTTCTGCTGGGCCCGCACCCGGGACTGGAATGTAGGCCACGGGGTGGAGGGCCTCAGCCCCAGCGGAGCAAGCCGCCAGCCGCCAGAGTGAGCGTGTGAGCACTCTCCCCCGGCCGTGTGCGAGCCCAGGCGCCCTGCGTTCTTTGTGAGCCACGTGTAACGGTGTCTGTTCCACGTTTAATCAGCGCGTCACGAGGACTAATGAAGGGAGCGCCTACCCACAGATTCACTGGTTTTCAGATGAACGTGTGCGCCGCGCCGCCGGCTGCTGTCCTCCTCGCGACTCTCCATGGGGCCGCCTGGCCGCCGTGTCACCTCCTCCGCCCTCCTGGACGGCAGTCCTGTCTCGGGTGGACTCCTTGGCAGACATCTTCCCCACTGCTGGGCCTGCCGCCCTCCTCATGGGTCTGACACAGCTGGATCCGTCAGTCTCTCTTCATGGTCAGGGCTTTAGGGTTTCTGTACTCTCTGTGTGCTTGTTCCTCAGATACCTCCTGACTCTGCCCTGTTAACTTCTAGAAACTTCCACCATCTACCATTGACTCTGCGTGGTGTGAGGTAGGTGCCAAGATTCACTTTTTTCAAGAGGATTCAGTCCATGAAGCACCATTTACTGACAAGACCAGCACCTGCCTACCTCCTGGCAACATCGGTTTCATTGTGAACCCAAATCTGCTGTGACCCTCCCATCTCCTGAGGCCATGTGTCCTCTTTGCACCGACCCCACTGGTCTCAGCCACTGAGCTGGGCATGAAGTGTTGTGTCTGGGACTGTATGTCCCAGAGATCATCAATGCCCTTCCCCATGGTGCTGGATTCACTCAGATCTCTGCATCTCCAATTAGCTTGTCCAGTTTCCTCCCAGAAAAGCAACACAGTCTTTGTCCTTTGTTGTTGTTGTTTAGTCGCTAAGTTGGGTCCAACTCTTAGAGACACTATGGACTGTAGCCCATCAGGCTCCTCTGTCCATGGGATTCCGCAAGGAAGAGTACTGGACTGGGTTGCCATTTCCTTCTTCAGGGATCTTCCTGACCAAGGGATTGAACCTGTGTCTCCTCCATTGGCAGGTGGATTCTTTTCCACTGAGCCACCAGGGACACCAGTTATTCTTTTTTTTTTTCTCCAGTTATTCTATAACTTGATCTGTCACCTTTATGATAATAATATTAAGTCCTCCAGTTCACAGCATATCTTTCCATTTTCTTGTTGTTCAGTTGCTAAGTCATGTCTGACTCTTTGCGAGTTGGACTGCAACTCGCCAGGCCTCCCTGTCCATCACTGTCTCCTGGAACTTGCTCAAACTCATGTCCATTGAGTCGGTGATGCCATTCAACCATCTCCTCCTCTGTCCTCCCCTTCTTGTCCTGCCTCAGTCTTTCCCAGCATCAGGGTCTTTTACAATGAGTCAGCTTTTTGCATCTGGTGGCCAAAGTATTGGAGCTTCAGCTTCAGCATCTGTCCTTCCGATGAATATTTGGGACTATTTCCTTTAGGACGGACTGGTTGGATCTCCTTGCTATCCAAGGGACTCTCAAGAGTCTTCTCCAAAAAAAAAAAAGAAAAGAAAAAAAAAGAGTCTTCTCCAGCACCACAATTAGAAAGCATCAAATCTTCGGTGCTCTGGATCTTTAATTTCTTTAAGTAATGCTTTATATTTTCTGATTGGAAGTACTACGTATAATGTGCTTGACTCATTACTAGGAATTTGGTGTTTTTCCATCCTTCTTTGATGGATGACATTTTCCCCTCCATGGTTTTGATTAAAGGAAAGAAAACTGTGCTGATGTCTGAGAGCTGGATATTTCTCATTGTAAACTAATAAATAGGCACTGTGATCCACGTATTCCCTGGTGAGTTTCAGCAGAACCCCAGGGGCACCCTGCTGCCCCATTTGCTGTCTCCACACACGTCAGATAATTCACGAAAGGGACACAAGGGGTGGGTCTGCAGCTTAACCGACACAGGAGGAGATCCCCTTGGAGAAGGACAAGCAGAGCTGGGGGGAGCATGGCAGATCCGGCGACTCTGAAGCTGTTAGACAGAGAAGCCTGGCGCGTTACTGTGCATGGAGTCAGTCACAAAGAGTTGGACACAAATGAACGACTAACACACACACACTTAAATGTCGACGCTTTCTGGGATAAGAATACCGAGGTCGTAGCGGTTAGCCTGGCCTCCCTTCGTCTTTCCTAATGTCTAGGGTTTGATCCCTACAAACGAGGTCAAGAAGAATAAATCGTGGGGGAGTGAGAAGCAGGGGAGAGTGGCGTGTCAGCTGTTCACAGAGCACAGAACAAGCCCACTCTGGTCAGGTCAGATCGTCTCCATCTTGGCTCTGAACCACCCTCCGCAGAGTTGAGGATAAAAGCACAGCCGTTTTCACAAACAGCTCATTCCATTAGTGACCATCTTTGCCTTTTGCTCAGAGAGCATGTATATCCGCTCTCCATGCCTGAGGGTCCTTAACTGCTTCCTGCCACAGGCCCTCACATCCGGCCTGATTCACCTGGGGACGGGACGCCCCCACTGCTGACCTCGGAGAGAATGGACAACGTCTTGTAGCAGCAAAGGGGAGGGCAACTAAAATATACATCTAAAGCCTATTTGTTCATCTCAAAGAGCACTGAAACAGGAGATACTGAACCGATGCACTCAGGTTGCCACAGGAAACGGCTGGTTCCTGACTTTTTGTAAAGCATTTTGCCCAAGAAGCTGACAATAATAGCACAGGGCTGGTCTAATATGTTCATGAAACGTTTTACATAAACTAGAGGCACCGCCTGATTTAATGGCATTTGGAAACAATTTCCTTATAATAAAAGGCAAAACTATTTTTTTTTTAACTTCTAACACTTCAGAGGAAATAACCGAGTTCCAAGAAAACAAAAGCTCCAATTAGCAAGTTCAGACCTGGAATCAGGTCTCTACAGGGCACCTGCATTTCCCACGGAAACCAAACCCGGGGATGGGACCTTCAAATTACATAGCCAAAGGCAGGTGATGTGGGTATCCAGAGAGTTTACAGAGCAACTCAGGCGACAGAGACTGGGACAAAAAAAACAAATATTCTCAGCGGGCACACGCGACCACATTTTTCTAGATCCGGGTGCTGCACACGACGCCCAGGGGCGCGAGGAAGGCGTCATTACCTGGGGCTCGAATCGTCGCGCCCACTGCCTCGCTCCGCCCCGGCGGGCCTGGGAGAGCGGCGCTGCTCGAGAGAGGCCAGCGCGGCCCCCGCGGAGCGACTGCGGAAGGAGGCTGCGCAGGACGCGGGCGGGTGGAGAGGCGCGGAGCGAGCGCCTGGAGGCCCGTCCTGCAGCTCGCTGGGGAGGCCGGCGGCTAAGGGGCGGAGCCGGATGCCCTCAGGCCGCCCGACCTCCAGGCTTCTCCCCCAACGCCCGGGCGGCCGTGGCTTCTGGCCCGTCGGGAATATTTTCGGTATTAACTGCACGTCTGGCGCCCCATCGCCTTCCTCTCTGGGCTCTGACCCGGGTGCTGCGAATGTTTTGCCTGGCCCGCAGAGTGCCGGGCTCGGCGGGGTTGGTCTCCAGCCTCTAGGCAAGCACGCCAGCGGGCGGGCCTCTTGGTGGGCTGTCCGCCTCCCAAGGGCTACCATGGCGCTGCCGGCAAGGGGGTCTCCAATGTGCTCTTGGCCCAACTCAGCCCCGCTGCCCTCCACCCGCTGTGCCTGCACCTCTCTCTGGCTCACCTTGTGTTTTTAAACTCCCAGTCATTCTCTACAGTCAAGGTTTTGAATCGCTGCACGCTCTGCCCTCGGATGAGGCCCTGAGCATAGACACACTATATTCTGGGTTTTTCCAGGTTCTGTCTTGTTCTCTCTCAAATCCACCTGTTTTTATCTTGAATTCCTCAGGGAAGGTGCCAGGACTGGCAGTTGGTGACTTCCTGGAGTTTATAACCCTGTGCTGTGAGCTCCCTGCAGAGGGCTGGGGGAGCGGGAGGGGGCAGCTGTTTTTTTTGGTGGGGGAAGTGGCCACATTTGTGCCCAGCTTGTCCTCAGACCCCAGCCGTCCAAGCTGCAGAACCAGGAGGTTTCACCAGCAGCATGTGACTCTGGGCTGGGATTGCTCATGAGACTTTTCCCTCCCAGAGGCCAAGCCAGGTCCCACTTCCTTTCCTGGGGCTTCTCACTGAGCCGCCTCCTTGGATCCATGGTTGGATCCATCCCGCTCTGCCCTGAGGTCTGGAACCGTCCAGGCTGTGCTGACCCGGGGCAACATTCCGGGCGAGCTATCTGCACACCAGCAAGAGCGGTTCTGGAGCACACTGCGTCCTGACTGTACCTTGCATCTGGGGTTTGAGACACCAAAGTACAGCTCAGGACAGGTCCCTGCCCTGGCCCTGACCAGCCTCTCACATCGCGGAGCGTAGAGGTTGGGCTGCAGGCGGCACAAGCCGCTGCTTTGAGACTAGGGACACCCAAGACACCGTCATGCCTCTCGCCGTGACCCTGAGCCCCAGACAAAGCCGGGTGTGCAAAATCTCACCTGACAAAAGCTCAGTGATTTAAAAAAAGAAAAAGTTTGATTTTAGAAATGTTTTAAACCTTGAAGTTTAAAAGTTCAAGGTCCCTGGTGGCTCAGACGATAAATAATCCACCTGCAATGCAGGAGACCCGGGTTTGATCCCTGGGTTGGAAAGGAATGGCAACCCACCCCAGTATTGTCACCTGGAGAGTTCCCCGGACAGAGGAGCCCGGCAGGCTGCAGTCCACGGAGTCGCAGAGTCAGACATGACTGAGCGACTAAGCACACATGCACACCTCCTAGGTGGAGGGACCGAACCGCGGCAGACGGGCGCTGTGCTCACCTGGTGGAAGCCCAGGTAGTCCACAATCGTGGCCGACGCGTAGAAGATCATCCCTTCGGCGCTCACCACCAGAGCGAAGCCGTGGAGGGACTAGAACAAACAGAACACCGACATCACTCACATGACATCACTCACAGTAAAAACATCAAGCATTGGTTCTGTTTGGCTTTTCAACCATTTCTTCCCTGTTTTGTGGTCTGAATTCATAACCTCCAGAAAGGCCTGCTTTTAATTTTTTTATGACTGTTCACAAAATGTCCTGAGCCAGCACGTGACTTGAGAACTTGGTCACCATTTATAAGGCTCATGACTTGGGTTCTTTTTCTAATGATTATCAAACGATGTTTTATAAAATACAAACATCACCATGGTGAGATGAGACACACCAGTACCTGAAACACAACAGGAACATTCACACCACAAGGTGGATTTTCCCATTCGTGCATCCTCTTCTATACCATGTTCTGGTTTTTCTAGGAATTTTCATCATGAAAAAATGTTGAGCTCCAACAAGGGCTATTTCTGTACTTACTGAAATCATCACATAGATTTTCTTTAGTCTATTAAGGTAGTGAGTTACATTGACAGATTTTCTGATGGTGAATCATTCTTGCCTATGGAGGGTAAATCTTTTTGGATCATCATTTCTAATGCGTTCTTGGAACTGATGCATTTCACTTGGGAAATATTCATCTATATTCAAGGAAATCCACCTATAAGCTTCTCTCTTCATTTTGGTGTTCAAGCGTACCTAATCATCAAACATCCTTTCCTTCTTTTTTCATTTTCTATGCCCACTTATTTATGATGAGGAAAACGTATTCCTAGAACATCTGGTTCACCTCACCTCTAAGATCCTCCAGTCTGGGTGCATTTTGGGGAGATGGTGAGTGAAAAGGGGGTGAATTTTGGCACCATGTTGGTTTATTTTATGACTGTTAGTATATTCAGGATTTTTTCTTATATCAGTTATGGCATCTTAAAATTTTTTCCAGTAATGCATCCATTGCATGTTTATTTTAAATTTACTCATGTATGTTATTCACAATATCTTAATGATTGTTAAATCTGTTATATCTGTAATTATTGTGGCATGCACTGTATTGCGGAGAAGGCAATGGCACCCCACTCCAGTACTCTTGCCTGGCAAATCCCATGGACTAAGGAGCCTGGTAGGCTGCAGTCCATGGGGTCGCTATGAATCGGACATTACTGAGCGACTTCACTTTCACTTTTCACTTTCATGCATTGGAGAAGGAAATGGCAACCCACTCCAGTGTTCTTGCCTGGAGAATCCTAGGGACGGGGGAGCCTGGTGGGCTGCCGTCTATGGGGTTGCACAGAGTCAGACACGACTGACACGACTTAGCAGTAGCAGCAGCCGAAGCAGCACTGAGTTGGGCTCGATTTAACATTTCCCTTTTTTTGAAAAGCAGGCCCTCCAGCCCCTCCTGCACAGGCTTCCCAGAGCCATGGCTAGTGAGGGTGCATGAGGGACCACAGGCACGCGAGCATGTGATCAATGCCCACCCTGTCAGCCAGCTGTCTGCCTGCCTGTCTGGCATCCTCCTCATCCTGATAAGAAAGACAGCGGTCCAGAGAGTGTGGGTCCTGGTAAGTGTCAGACACCAAGTGTGGAATGGCTCACTCAGTTGTGTATCACCTCCTGCAGGCAGGCAGGAACAGCCTGATTTTCTGGGGCCAGGGCACAGCGGGAGGTTAGGGAGAGTTAGGCAGCTGGACGGTGAAGTTCATGATATCTCAGCTGGAATCTTTAACATGCAGACATTTAGAGACTTTACATTAACATCCATGAAGTTTGCAGCTATCAGCAATACATTATAATATTAATTTCTCTTAATTCTTGACCACACTGAGTACTTCTTTCTTTTTTTTAATTTTTGCCAATTTTATGTGATAAATTATTTTACCATCATTATAATTTTCATTATTTGATTATTAATGAGATTGAAAAACATTTCACACATTCATTGGTAACTTGTATTTCTTTTTTGGTAAAATACCTGTGCATGTTATGTGCTGATTTTTCTATTAGGATTTACAAATATCAATTTCTAGGAGCTTTCAAATTACTGGTATTGAAGACTTCTAGGGAGCCCAGGATAATGTTGCTGTTCAGTCTCTAAGTCATGTCTGACCCTTTGCAACTCCATGGACTATAGCCCACCAGGCTCTTCTGTCCTCCACTCTCTGCTGGAGCTTGCTCAAATTATGTCCATTGAGTCAGTGATGCCATCCAACCATCTCATCCTCTGTCGTCCCCTTCTCCGATTGCCCTCAGTCTTTCCCAGCATCAGGGTCTTCTCCAATGAGTCGGCTCTTCCCATCAGGTAACCATAGTATTGGAGTTTCGGCATCAGTCCTTCCAATGAATATTCAGGACTGATTTCCTTTAGGATGGACTGGTTTGATCTCCTTGTAGTCCAAGGGACTCTCAAGTTTTCTCCAGTACTATAATTTGAAGGCATCAATTCTTCGGTGCTCAGCTTTCTTTATGGTCCAACTTTTACATCCATACATGACTACAGCTAGCAAAACCATAGTTTTGATTATACAGACCCTTCTCAGCAAAGTGACATCTCTGCTTTTTAATAGACTGTCTAGGTTTGCCATAGCTTTTCTTCCAAGGAGCACGTGTCTTTTAATTTCATGACTACAATCAAGGTCCACAGTGATTTTGGAGCCCATGAGAAGAAAATCAGTCACTGCTTTCACTTTTCACCTTCTCTTTGCCATGAAGTGATAGGATAATGGCAGCCACCTAAATCCAAAGCCTCACACCTCTAAGAACTGATGGAGAGCCACAAGGACAGGTACAACTTTACGACTCTGCACCCTGTCATGATGAGGACACACAGAGGTGATGAACTGCAAGTTACATATAATCAGAAAAGGCAACGTAAAGTCCCAGTAAGCTTAGGATGACGGCTTCAAAAGAACCAAGTGTGTTTTAATTCCTCCTCAAGAAACTAGAGACAATTAAACACAATGTAAGAAGAAGGATAAAGCACAAGCTGGAATCAAGATTCCAGCATCAACATCAATAACTTCAGATATGCAGATGACATCACCCTTTTGGCAGAAAGCGAAGAGAAACTAAATGGCCTCTTGATGAAAGTGAAAGAGGAGAGTGAAAAAGCTAGCTTAAAACTCAACATTCAGAAAACTAAGATCATGGCATCTGGTTCCATCACTTCAAGGCAAATTGGGGAAAAAATGGAAACAATGACAAACTTTATTTTCTTGGACTCCAAAATCACTGTTGATGGTGACTGCAGCCGTGAAATTCAAGACGCTTACTCCTTGCAAGAAAAGCTATGACCAACCTAGACAGCACATTAAAAAGCAGAGACATCGCTCTGCTGACACAGGTCCGTCTAGTCAAGGCTATTGTTTTTCAGTAGTCATGTATGGATGTGAGATTTGGACCATAAAGAAGGCTGAGCACTGAAAAATTGACGCTTTCGAACTATGGTGCTGGAGAAGACTCTTGAGAGTCCCTTGGACTGCAAGGAGATCAAACAAGTTGATCCTAAAGGAAATCAGTCCTGAATATTCATTGGAAGGACTGATGCTGAAGCTGAAGCTCCAATATTTTGATACCTGATGCAAAGAGCCAACTCATTGGAAAAGACCCTGATGCTGGGAAAGATAGAAGGCAGGAGGAGAAGGGGACGACAGAGGATGAGATGGTTGGATGACATCACCAACTCAATGGACATGAGTTTGAACAAACTCTGGGAGATAGTAATGGACAGGGAAGCCTGGTGTGCTGCAGTCCATGGGGTTGTAAAGAGCTGGACACAGCTGAGAGACTGAACAACAGCAAGAAGGAGAAAAAAATTAAAAATAAAAGAAGAAACAATGAAAATAGTTAAATAATAAAGTTTCAGATATTATTTAAATAAATAATAATAGTTTTTAAATAGTTAAATAATAAAGATTGTTACAAAGTGGAAAATTGCTTCTTTAAAAAGACTAATAAAATTGATAAACTCCTAGAAGATTTATCAAGAAAAATACAAGTATCAAGAAAAATACAAGTTACTGACACAAGGAGTTTTAAAGAAAACATCATTACACACCCTACAGACATTAAAAATACAGTAAGGAAATATTAAAAATGATACTCAAGAAATTAAATAATTTACCATAATTAACCCATTAGAGATAGAAACCTTGAAGCACAATTTCTGTAGAAGAAACAAAGTTATCAAGGCACTAACCCAGGATAATGTGCCTGACCCAGATGTTTTAAAAATCTTTAAAAATCAGATAATAACAATGCCCCCTAAATTGTCTCAGAAATAGAAAGTGAAAATTCCCTAATTCTTAAGAACTATAACATGGACAGTTAATTCTGGTAAGGAAATTCAATAAAAATAAAATTACAGACTTTGACTACTGATTCCAAATATGCTAGATGAAATATTAGCAAACAGATTTCAATTTCACATTATGAAAAGAATACATCATGACCAAGAGACTTTATTCCAGGAATGCAAGTTTGGTTCAATATTGGGAAATTCATTAATATAATACACCAAGCTTATCTATCCCTGGGTCAGGAAGATCCTCTGGAGAAGGGCATATGTACCCACTGCAGAATTCTAGCCTGAAAAATCCCATGGACAGAGAAGGAAGCCTGGATGGCTACAGTCCATCTGACTCCAAAGTCAGACATGACTGAGCAACTAACCAGACAAGCAAGTTCATAATTCTAAGGAGAAAAATCTATAACTTTCGCCATCTTCATGGATGGCAAAAAAAGCTTTCAACAAAATTCAACACTCATTTCTGATTAAAAAACACTCAAGAAAATAGGAATTATGGATACATGTTAATATGATAATGCGTGTGAACATGTTGTGTGTGTGTGTGTCCATGTTATTCCTAAGGTAGCAACTTAATTAATGAGGAAAAATGCTGCTGGTTTCCAGGAGGATCAGGAAGCGAGGCAAGGATGCCCGTGACATCCCACTCCAGGGGTGTGTAAACTACAGTGCCCCTCCATTCCACCTAACACTGTGGCCAAACCTGTTCATTTACGTATGTGTACTATGAGAGCA